GGAGTTCAAGACCAGCGTGAGCAATGTAGCAAGACCCTGTATCTAGAAAAAAAAAAAAAAAAATCAGCCAGGCATGGTGGGACGCACTTATAGTCCCAGGTACTTGGGAGGCTGAGGAAGGTGGAGCACTTGAGCCCAGGAGTTTGAGGCTGTAGTGAGCTATGATTATGCCATTGTACTCCAGCCTGGACAACAGAGCAAGACCTTGTCTAAAAAAAAAAAAAAAAAAAAAAAAAAAGCAAAAAAGAATAAAAAAAAAGAAAAAGAAATGGCCTAACTAAAAACAATGACTATATCTGTGCCTAGATTATGGTCTTCAAATAGCATTTCCCACAAAACGAAGCAGAGCTCTTGGAGAAATGGCTGTCACCAAGTCTAGACAAGGAAATTTATTAGATGTATTGAAATACCTTACATCTGAAATACCCTGGAGCCTACAGAGTACAGAAAAACAACAACAAAAAAAACAAAACCATAAATTAGGGCTCATTCCTGTAATCCCCGCACTTTGAGAGATTAAGAGGTGGGGGAAGTGCATCGCTTGAGCCCAGGAGTTTGAGACCAGCCTGGGCAACAAGGCAACAATCTGTCTCTACAAAAAAATACAACAATTAGCTGGGCATAGTGGCGTCTGCCTGTGATCCTGGCTACTCAGGAGGCTGAGGTGGGAGGATCACCTGAGCCTGGGAGGTTACGACTGTAGTGAGCCGTGATCGTGCCACTGCTACTCCAGCCTGGATGACAAAGCAAGAGCCTGTCTCAAAAATATGTATTTTTTAAGGCCGGAAGCAGTGGTTCACACTTGTAATCCCAACACTTTGGGAGGCCACAGTGAGCAGATCCCTTGAGCCCAGAATTTCTTGAGACCAGCCTGGGGAAAAAAAAAAACCCAAAACAAAACAACTAAGCAAGGTGGGTTGGACAAGCTTGCTGGTACCTCAATTGCCTCCATGAATATCACATTTTGAGAGGGATTCCCACCAAGGGAGTCACAAAATAAGGGACAATTGCCTAGGAAAAAAAAAAATTATATACTCAAATTACCTTGAGTCTTGGTTCAGATCACAGCACAAACCAAGGGCCTCACTTCCAAAAGGAACCCCATGGGAGATTAGGAAGACTTGACTCCTTTGTGAATATAAAACACCATTACATTTTATTATGAAAATACAGCCAGCTGGGCATGGTGTCTCACGCCTGTAATCCCAGCATTTTGGGAGGCCAAGGCAGGCAGATTGCTTCAGGCTAGAAGTTGCAGCAGCCTGGGCAACATGGCAAACCGTCTCTACAAAATATTCAAAAATTAGCTGGGTGCAGTGGCATGTGCCTGTAGTTCCTGCTACTCATAAGGGCTGAGGTGGGAGGATCACTTGAGCCTGAGAGGTCGAGGCTGCAGTGAACTGTGATCATGCCACTGCACTCCAGCCTGGGCAACAGAGTGATACTTTGTCTCCAAGAAAAAAAAAAAAAAATACCCCACAAAAAAAAAACACAAAACTACAGCCAAATTCTAGATAGTCACATATCAAGCACATACATAACCTAAATATTGTTAGCCAGGTTGGGGTAAAAATCCTTTATATTCATATTTAAATTTATTCTGTCTTGTTACCAAGATATTGGGTCCTGATGACTCTCAAATTGTGGCTCTAAAAGGTTTCTTAACTCTTTTTTTTTTTTTTTTTTTTGAGACGGAGTCTCGCGCTGTCACCCAGGCTGGAGTGCAGTGGCCGGATCTCAGCTCACTGCAAGCTCCGCCTCCCGGGTTCACGCCATTCTCCTGCCTCCGCCTCCCGAGTAGCTGGGACTACAGGCGTCCGCCACCTCGGCCGGCTAGTTTTTTGTATTTTTTAGTAGAGACGGGGTTTCACCGTGTTAACCAGGATGGTCTCGATCTCCTGACCTCGTGATCCGCCCGTCTCGGCCTCCCAAAGTGCTGGGATTACAGGCTTGAGCCACCGCGCCCGGCCGGTTTCTTAACTCTTAACCAGACTTTCTTCCTACAGGCTAGTATATGAAAATTAACTCTGTGATCAAGAAACAATTCTAAAAAGCAACACATTTATTTTTTCCTCTACACCAGTCAGGTATTAATAGCATTCACTTTGTGAGCTGTGACCAACATTCAACAGACAAATATGCAAAGATAGGATTCTATTTAGATTTTCAAGCCACTTCAGTGAGTCCCTGTTTATGAGACACTGCACAAAATAGGACTTAACCAGTCAGGTGCAGTGGCTCAAATGCCTATAATCACACTTTGGGAGGCCCAGAAGGGTGGATTGCTTGAGTCCAGGAGCTTGAGACCAGTCTGGGCAACATGGTGAAACTGTTTCTACAAAAAAAACAGAAAAATTAGGTGGGCATGGTGGTGCACGCCTCTAATGCCAGCTACTCGGGAGGCTGAGGCAGGAGAAGCATTTGAGCCTCGAAGGTTGAGGCTGCAGTTAGCCATGATCACACCACTGCACTCTAGCCTGGGCAACAAAATGAAACCCTGTCTCAAAAATAATAATAATAATAATAATAATAATAAAAAGACAACCAACTGTGAATTTTCTGAAATAGGAAGAAATGGGTAGTGTCTGGGTAGTTTTGGGGTGATGTGTGGCCAAATTAAGGCAAGCTTTCAGCTGCTTTATAGCAAGAACAACCCAGTAGAAAAGAATAGGCAAAGAACATGTATAGAACACAGAAAGTTAAAATGGCCAATATAAGGACTGAGACAAATGTCAGCTGTCATATTTTCACATATCAAATTAAGTTTGAGAGATTTTGAGGAAAAGTCGTATTTATTACTCGTCTTAAGTATAAATTCCTGCAACCTTTTTTGGATGGCAATATTTATTTAAATGTACATGGCATACATTCTTTGACCTATTATATTCACTGTTAACAATTTACACTCTGGATGTAATCGGAAAATCATGTGTGGTATGTATTAATTTTCACAATATATTCTTTTTTGAGATGGAGTCTCGCTGTCGCCAGTCTGGAGTGCAGTGGTGCGATCTCGGCTCGCTGCAACCTCTGCCTCCTGGGTTTAAGTAATTCTCCTGCCTCAGCCTCCCAAGTAGCTGAGATTACAGGAGCCCGCCACCATGCCCGGCTAATTTTTGTATTTTTAGTAGAGACGGGGTTTCACCATGTTGGCCAGGATGGTCTCGATCTCCTGACCTCGTGATCCACTCACCTCGGCCTCCCAAAGTGTTGGGATTACAGGCGTGAGCCACCATGCCCGGCCAGTATATTCTTTCTAACGAAAAGTAAGCATTAGGAGCATATTCCTGTGATGAAATGTTACTTAAGCTTTTTGAAAGAATGGTATGGAAATGTTATCAATTATATGGTATAATCCCATTGTGTAAATTTTGATACAAATATATGCAGTTTAATGTAAATAAAATACATACACATGAATGTGTGCATGTATGCACACAAAAGCCAATAGTGGTTACCTTTAGAGGCCGTGGAGAAAGTCTTTTCACTGTTCATTTACATCTCTAACAGGGGCACTGCTCTGCTTCCCCTCCCTCTCCCTACTTGCCCCAGTGAAAAAGTGGATATGTTGATCCCGTTTGTTTCATGAACCACTCAAGTTCAACATTTATAAATACTCAACAGAAGACACAGATCAACGGTGCTCGGTTCTGATGGTACACTGGAATTAACCCAGGAGGCCCTGAAAAAGAGTTATCTGGGTCTAACCCCAAGAACACTGACTTAATTAACGTGAAGTGCAGCCTGGCTTTGGGAGTTTAAAACACTCCCCAAGTGATTCTACTATGCAGCCAGAGGTGAGAGCTTAAATTTCTCAATGACGTATGACCCAATCTTAAGAGGTCTATGTGACAGCAAGAATCAAGTGTCTGAGATCACGGGCAGCATCATCAACTGGATGCTGCCACATGAAGAATTTGAGGCCCAAAGGAAGCACACAGGGACATGCCATGCCCTCCTGTTCTGTGTGCTCACTCAGCCTTCACTGATCTTGCCACCCTAGGTCCTGTTTGAAGCCCGTGGACTGTTTTGGCTTACTTCCTCATACCTTTTGTGTTTTAAAGTAATAAACGTTAGTTGAGGCAATACTGTCCCACACACACAAGAGAAAGGCACATACATCACGAAAGCCCACATTGTTCCATTAAACAACAGTTGTTCTGTCTGAAACTGTTAGCCACATTTTTGAAGTCTCATATCTTGGCAATACTTCAATATCTTCATAAAGAGCAAAAAATATCTAAGTGCTTCCAAAGAATCAATTTAGCAAGCAAGTTTCTCTTACTAATCCCATGATTAATTTTCCCATCAAGCCAGATAGCCACAGGAAATATTTTTGCAAGAATACATACAGAAGCTGGCCAAAAGGAAGGGAAAAATAGCAAATTCCAAAAAGAACCACTGCATGAATTAGATATTCACAAAACTTACACATGATTTACATAGCTGCTATTATTTAGGCAACGTTTCTCTAGAGTAAATGACTTACACAATGAAAAGTCTTTTTTTTTTTTTTTTTTTAAGACGGAGTTTCGCTTTTGTTGCCCAGGCTGGAGTGCAATGGTGCAATCTTGGCTCACCGCAACCTCCACCTCCCGGGTTCAAGTGATTCTCCTGCCTCAGCCTCCTGAGTAGCTGGGAGTACAAGCATGTGCCACCATGCCTGGCTAATTTTTGTATTTTTAGCAGAGACGGGATTTCTCCATGTTAGTCCGGCTGGTCTCGAACTCCTGCCCTCAGGTGATCCGCCCGCCTCAGCCTCCCAAAGTCATGGGATTACAGGCGTGAGTCACCGCGCCGGGCTGAGAAAAGGCTTTTGAAAACAGAATACACATCCTCTGAGGAAAGAGCAGCTCAGCCTCAGTCTTAATAGAAACAGTCTTCAAGAAATAACCTGCAATTAAAGTAGTTAAAATGAGCTCCAGTTGAGGGTCTAATGAATACATTTTTAGTTTTAAAATAATTTAAGGTTAATATTAATTCTTTAAAAGTAGTATCTGAACAGTTAGCCATCATATATTTTTATTTTATTACAAGATATTTTAAAATTTGGGAAATTACAATTGTGACAGAAAACCAGCTTCATACCAAAAATACACTTTCAATTACTTTATCAGGCAAATAAAAACAATCTTCATTTATTTGCTCTTTCCAGAATTACTATACAGTAAAAATTCAGTATTGTATATGACAGACATGTATTAAGCATACATACAAAATGAACGGATTGAATGTTCAAAAACAAAGGTAAAAATAAATAGCAATGATAAAACTTTGGAAAAAATAATGCACATTTTAGTTGTGGAAAATATGGTTCTTATATATACATAGTTTATACTTAATAGAAAGCCATCTCTTTAAAATTGCACAAAACATGGGACCAATAAAGCATAGTATTTTATGGCATGTAATACTATAATCCTAAGGTAATTTGTTCCTTGACTCCAGGATATAAAACACTTAGGTTTGTAATATAATAAAAGGTATGTAGTATTGTTCGAGAAAGATTCTCTTCCTCAACTCACATTAACCTGTAGTAATCCTACAAAAGGCTGTACAGGAAATTTCACAAAAAGAAATATTAAAAAATTATCATGCCCACTTCATGCTGACTAAACAGCCAAAAATGGGCTTCAAAGTAAACTTGGTGGCCATTTAATATTTCAATACCTTTTTTCTGTTAAAGACTGTTTCTTTGTTCCATAAAAACACTTTGTGTTTAACCGTGATTGGCAATCTCAGCACAAGAAAATCCTGGCAAAATGGAGTTGGTTTTTGCTTACCTTATTTTCATGAATAAAATATTTCAGGATAGGAATTTATACAAAAGAAACATTAATGCTCAATTCACTTATAACCAGAGTTGTATCAGGAGTGTTACTACATTATTTAAAAATCCTATTTAATAAACTCCTTTATAAGAAAATCAAAGGTAACATTTCCATTTGTATTATGGCATAGCCCTCGACTTAAGAGAAAAATACACTTTGGGGAACCAGAAAAAATTGCACAAAGCTTAGGGGCAACCTGAAAAGCTCTTGGTGAAAAACACTTCAGTACTCTAGGGCAATAAAAAAATATGTGCAGGCTTAATTACAAATATTTACATTCCAAACAGAGTCATGACTTAGCTTCAGCTGCTCAATGCCAACAATTCACAGGTATTTCAAAACATCTGATAATGTGTCCACAATATCTGTGACCACATTTGAATGCATAGAATACAGTAAAGATTATGGTTTGCAGTCTGTTGCCTATCATATCTATAAAACAAACATACTTATATTTTAAAAGCTGTACAACCAAAAGCATTGAGCAAATGTCTTCTTATCTTACATAATATATACTTTAAGTACTACTGATTTCACTCATTTGTTCAACAACTTGTCCTAAAATCTCATCAACTACATCAACATCGTAATTCACTTGCTGAAGATCAAGATCAGGCACAATCATAGCCAGCAGTTGTCCTACGTTAACTCGAAGAGATCGGAGTTTGAGGCTGCAAATATAAATATGTAACTTATTAGATGAGCATTACAAGTTAATATTCATGTAGACCTTAAAAAGTAAAATACCAAAATCAAATCTCTGTAGAATAATATACAATTAAACAAAAAGAAAAGCAAAACCTCCCCTAGAGAACTCAATTTACTTTTATCAGTCAGGTGCACTTGCTCATGCCTGTATTCCCAGCACTTTGTGAAGCCAAGGAGGGAGATCGCTGGAGCCCAGGAGTTTGAGGCCAGCCTGGCCAACATTGTGAAACCCTGACTCTACTAAAAACACAAAATATTAGCCGGGCTTGGTGGTGGCACCTATAGTCCCAGCTTCTCAAGAGGGTAAGGTGGGGGATCACCTGAGCCCAGGAGGTCAAGGCTGCAGTGAGCTGCGATGGCACCACTGCTCTCCAGGGTTCATGCAATTATCCCACCTCAGCCTCCCGAGTAGCGGGAAGCACAGGCCCACACCACCATGCCCGGCTAATTTTTTTAAATTATTATTTGTAGTAATGGGGTTTCACTATATTGCCCAGGCTGGTCTCAAACTCCTGGGCTCAATCAAGCATTCTGCCCACCTCAGAGTGCTGGGATTACAGGCATGAACCACCATGCTAAGCCGCAATTATCTAAAACATGTTCTATAAGATATTCATAGTTGTATAAGAGGTAATAAAAGGTTCTGTGGTCAAACAAGCTTGCAAAACGTTGTGTTACACAATGTGAAAGAAGTTTTTTTTAGGCTGAGCACAGTGGCTCACGTCTGTAATCCCAGCACTTTGGGAGGCTGAGGCAGGCAGATCACCTGAGGTCAGGAGTTCAAGACCAGCCTGATCAAAATGGTGAAACCCCATCTCCCACTAAAAATACAAAATGTAGCTGGGCGTGGTGGCGCACACCTGTAGTCCCAGCTACTGGTGAGGCTGAGGCAGGAGAATTTGCTTGAACCTGGGAGGCAGAGGTTGCAGTAAGCCGAGATTATGCAACTGCATTCCAGCCTGGGCGACAGATCAGGACTCTGTCTCCAAAAAAATAATAATAATAATAATTGCAGGACTGCTCTGATCCTATTACATTAAGTTACTATGCATTTACAGAGAACAATGGTTTTCTGAAAACAGTCGGAAGCCCTAGATTAAGATAATTATGCCTTCCAAGTTTATGAATATCAGCATTCTAGGCTTTTATTAAAATGCCCAAAAGTATTTAAGCAATAAACACCTAAACTGTAAGGCAGCTTTTGTTTCAAATATTATGGCAAACACATAAAATAAGTGTTACAGTTGTTCTTGTTCCCCATCCCACTACAATATAGTAAGTCCATATTTAATTTAGATACTGATTTTTCTCAAGTGGAAATCTATGAAGGGATCAAGATGTTCTTCCTTAGGCTGACAATGCAGAAAATGCGATTTTGAGCATGTCCGTTTTGTGAGCTTTTGCGGTAAGAGTCCACTAGACCTTTGAAAATACTTTAATCATTCCCATGCCAGCTTTTCTTTTCTTTTTTTTTTTTGAGATGGAGTTTTGCTCTTGTTGCCAAGGCCAGAGTGTGGTGGCGCAATCTTGGCTCACTGCAACCTCCTTCTCCCAGGTTCAAGTGATTCTCCTGCCTCAGTCTCCCAAGTAGCTGGGATTACAGGTGCGCGCCACCATGCCAAGCTAATTTTTTTAGTAGAGACAGGGTTTCACCATGTTGGTCAGGCTGGTCTCCAACTCCTGACCTCAAGCGACCCACGCACCTTGGCCTCCTGCCTGAGCCTCCCAAGTAGCTGGGACTACAGGCACCTGCCACCACGCCCAGCTAATTTTTGTACTTTTAGTAGAGACAGAGTTTCACCATGTTGGCCAGGCTGGTCTTGAACTCCTGACCTCAGGTAATCCACCCAACTCAGCCTCCCAAAGTGCTGAGTTTATAGGTGTGAGCCACCACACCTGGCCTACTTGTTTTAATAGGACTTCTTCCTAATATCATCTGTACTATGGCAATTTTTAGTAATTTTGTGATTTCCTAAAAGATTACAGAGAGCATATCGTGAAATAAGGACAGCAAGCCATAAAGAAATGGTACCAAGTACGACAACAAAAGAAAAACAGGTTGAAGGAGTGAATTTCAGTAACAGTCTCGTGTCTTCTACTCATGGCCAAATTCCCCCTATTCTTCAATATCGTGCCCATTTTTATTTTCCTTCAAAAAACATTCTAAAACCACTCTGAACAATCAAATGCTTTATTCCTTCTAAATTCCTATTCCACTTAAATAGAACCTAAACGGTCAGAAACTGGGAAGGAAAGATAATGAAGTGTCACTTCTTTCGTATCTATCATATAACACCAGGGTCACAGCAGACAATCAATAATTTCTTCTGACAGAACAGTATCTATCTGATGGGTGCTAGCAGATAAAAATAAATAGTATCCTAACCATAATTGCAGCCCCACAAAAACGCCTCATTTAATATTACCTTTCCCCATCCATATAATTTACAGACTCCTCAATGTTACTTGATGTTGAAACATCTGTTGCTGTCTGTTGATTTGTAGATTTTAACTGTTCAACTTCAGTTTTGAGTTCTTCACACTGTGAACGGATTTGTGATTTTTCCATTTCCAGCAATTCAACCTAACAAAAAATATAAATGAACTTTATAACTGCAAAACTTAAAAATGCTAATGGCAAAGTGAAATTTCAAGCTAAGAAATATAAAGAACCTGCTTGATAACATTATCAACTATCAAAAAACAAATACACAAAGAAAAACCAATAGTTTTCTATGAACAAAGCTTCATTCGTTTACAGCTTCACTTCTCCATCTTTTTACATGGAGAGAATACAACATATTACCACTTGATTTAAAAAAAAGTGATACCTAGAAAATGAAAAACCAAGGCCGGGTGCGGTGGCTCACGCCTGTAATCCCAGCACTTTGGGAGGCCGAGGCGGGCGGATCACAAGGTCAGGAGATCGAGACCACGGTGAAACCCCGTCTCTACTAAAAATACAAAAAATGAGCCGGGCGCGGTGGCGGGCGCCTGTAGTCCCAGCTACTCGGGAGGCTGAGGCAGGAGAATGGTGTGAACCCAGGAGGCGGAGCTTGCAGTGAGCCAGGATCGCGCCACTGTACTCCAGCTTGGGCGACAGAGCAAGACTCCGTCTCAAAAAAAAAAAAAAAAAAAAAAAAGAAAGAAAATGAAAAACCAGCCAGCACGGTGGCTCACACCTGTAATCCCAGCACTTTGGGAGGCTGAGGTGGGTGGATCACCTGAGGTCAGGAGTTTAAGACCAGCCTGACCAACAAGGAGAAACTCCATCTCTACAAAAAATACAAAATTAGCCAGGTGTGGTGGCAGGCACCTGTAATCCCAGCTACTCGGGAGGCTGAGACAGGAAAATTGCTTGAACCCAGGAGGTAGAGGTTGCAGTGAGCTGAGATCACGCCACTGCACTTCAGCCTGGGCAACAAGAGCAAAGCTCCACCTCAAAAAAAACCAAAAAACAAAAAACAGAAAAACCAAGATACTAATGCCTAAATTATGTTAATGTCACAGTGGCTTTTATTTCTTGCATACTCATCAACTTATAATTAAGTTACAATAGTGAGTTTATGCTTTTTATAAACAGATGGTCCCTGACTTACATCGGTTTGACTTTATGATTTTCCAACTTTATGATGGTGTGAAAGTTACATGCATTCTATAGAAACCGCACTTTGCATACCAATACAACCATTCTGTTTCTCGTTTTCAGACAGATTCAATACATTACATGAAATACTCAGTATGTTGTGATAAATCAGACTTTGTGTTAGATGATTTTGCCCAAATGTAGGCTAATACAAGTGTTCTGAGCACTTTAAAGGTAGGTTAGACTAGGCTAAGATTTTGGGAGGTTGGCTGTAATGAAATGAATTTTGGAGTTAATGCTACTTCCAACCTATGATGGGTTTTCCAGGACTGATACCATAAGTTGAGGAGCATCTGCATTTTGTCATTCAGCTCCTGAGCCAAGGCATCAAGATTAGTGTTTGCATGAGCAGCGCTAGTCCCAAGGAAGAGACAGCACAGCACCATATCATGGTTCCCAAACTCTTTAGCAGGAAAATCCTTTCTTTTCTTTTTTTGAGGCAGAGTTTTGTTCTTGTTGCCCAGGCTGGAGTGCAATGGCACGATTTCGGCTCACCGCAACCTCCGCCTCCCGAGTTCCAGCGATTCTCCTGCCTCAGCCTCTTGAGTAGCTGGAATTACAGGCATGCGCCACCATATCCGGCTAATTTTGTATTTTTAGTACAGACAGGGTTTCTCCATGTTGGTCAGGCTGGTCTCGAACTCCTGACCTCAGGTGATCTGCCCGCCTCAGCCTCCTAAAGTGCTGGGATTACAGGTGTGAGCCAGTGCGCCTGGCCGGAAAATCCTTTCAAAAGCCTCACACACGGCCGGGCGTGGTAGCTCACGCCTGTAATCCCAGCACTTTGGGAGGCCAAGGCGGGCAGATCACGAAGTCAGATAGAGACCATCCCAGTTAACACGGTGAAACCCCGTCTCTACTAAAAAATACAAAACAAAATTAGCTGGGCATGGTGGTGGGCGCCTATAGTCCCGGCTACTTGGGAGTCTGAGGCAGGAGAATGGCATGAACCCGGGAGGCGGAGCTTGCAGTGAGCCGAGATCACGCCACTGCATTCCAGCCTGGGCGACAAAGCAAGACTCTGTCTCAAAAAAAAAAAGCCTCACACACAAAAATGTATAAAATAGATTAAAAGGAGCTACCTGAATTTGAAGTGGGGGCATACGAAGAGGCTACTGATATTTATCATTTGTCTACCGGTATTGATCGTTTTTCTCCTCCTTTCTTCAGTAAAAGAACCCACACATAAAGACTGCATTTCCCAGGCACCCTTTAGCCAGATGACTCAGCACTGATAGTCAGAACATAAGCAATTCAGGCCAGACACGGGGGCTCACGCCTGTAATCCCAACACTTTGGGAGGCCAACGTGGGTGGATCACTTGACATCAGGAGTTCGAGATTAGCCTGGCCAGCATGGTGAAACCCTGTCTCTACTAAAAATACAAAAACTAGCCAGGCGTGGTTGCATGTGCTGTAATCTCAGCTACTGGGGACGCTGAGGCAGGAGAATTGCCTGAACTCGGGAGGTGGAGGCTGCAGTGACTCGAGATCGGGCCACTGCACTCCAGCCTGGGCAACAGAGTGAAACCTTGTCTCAAAAAAAAAAAAAAAAAAAAATATATATATATATATACACATACACACACACACACACACACACACACACGTATATATCAATCAAGATTTTAAAAGGGATAAGTCAATTTCTCTCAGGAATCTTGAAAGACATAATCTAGAAAAATGAATGACTCCATAACTAAAATATTAACTATACTTAAAAGTAGAATTGATGCCCAAAAAAGAAAGAACATAATTAACTGTATTAATGAGGTATTAAGTTAATATTGGTATTCTGAACAGGGTATTTACCATACCTGGCTACCCCCATTATTTTTCAGGAATGCACATCTCAAGACATTGAAAGAACCAAAAATGCCCCTAACACATTTCCATATGCCTCCAGGAAGCCCTCTCCTCAGGTGAGAACCAGTAGAATAATAGACACTCAATAAAAACATAATTATTTTTAAGTGAAAGTATTCCAATCTAACAATTGGTAGTTTTTTTTTTTTTTTTTTCTTTTTTTCTTTTTGGAGACAGAGTCTTGCTCTGTTGCCCAGGCTGGAGTATGGTGGTGCAATCCTGGCTCACGGCAGCCTCTGCCTCCCAGGTTCAAGTGATTCTCCTGCCTCGGCTTCCCAAGCAGTTGGGACTATAGGCGCCTGCCACCACGCCCGGCTAATTTTTGTATTTTAGTAGAGATAGGGTTTCACCACGTTGTCTAGGCTGGTCTCGAACTCCTGATAGCAAGTGACCCACCCGCCTTGGCCTCCCCAAGTGGTGGGATTACAGGCATGAGCCACCGCTCCCAGCCAACTGGCAGCTTCTTAAGGTTTAAATGGCCCTGGACTCCACGACTACGTGTTGGATGATATAACTCACCTCATTTTTATACTGGTCCCTCTCAATACTGCATTTGTCCAGTTGTCTAAACACATCGTCAAGCTGCACGGCCATCTCATCCATTTCACTTTTACTCTCATTATTGGAACACTGGCTGCATTCAGCCTTTACATGTTGCAAAGCACTACATTGTTTTTTCAGCCTTTCTATTTCTTCCAAAGCTTGCTGATACTGAGATACCATATGGTCTGGACTTTCAGATTTGCCATTAATACTTTCAAGTAAAAATACAGCATCGGTTTCAGTGGACTGATGGCAAGTTTCTTTCTTAACATACTTGTCATTCATTTCTAATATCCTCTGTTGTAACACTTTGACTTGATCAGTAAACATATGACACTGTCTTTTATAATTCTCTTTCTCCTCGGTGACAAGGAGTAGCTGGTTTCTCAGTTCTTGTAATTGGCAGCCTGCATCATCTGCAGATTTATCAGTGGTTTCCTGGGTTTCATGTATCTTTGCTTCAGCTTCTACACAGGAGGGCTGAATCACTGCATCATTTCTTACGTCTATCTCGTCTTCAACAGTTTCTTCTTTTTTAACAACTAAACTCGGTACTTCAGTCTGGGTAGCTGCAGTATTTCCCTGGTCGCATCGGGATGATGAGGTGCTGGTTGAACCAGTCTGGCCACAAGGTTCACTGTCACCCACAAGCTCGACCTGAACACCACCTTGCTCAACGTGACTCTGTTCTGATTTCATATCAATATCATGATCTACTGCAGGTTTGGGGGTACTGTTTTCTTCTAAGATGATGACATCTTCGTCATCGTCATCACCTTTATAAACTGAATTTTCAAACTGACTACTCAATTTCCGATTCTTTGCATTCAAAATTGAGGAACGAGTAGAAAGTCTCCGTTTCAGGCTGAAAAAAATTTTATATATAAAATATAAGATTATAAAATACGGACAAAATAGATGACCTTGAAGTAATCATTCTAATAAATGCAGTATTATAACAATTTTTTTGTTTTTTGAGATGGAGTTTCACTCTGTCGCCCAGGCTAGAGTGCAATGGCATAGTCTCGGCTCACTGCAACCTCTGCCTCCCAGGTTCAAGTGACTCTCCTGCCTCAATCTCCTAAGGAGCTGGGATTACAGGCACCCGCCACCATGTCCAGCTAATTTTTATATTTTTAGTAGAGACGGGGTTTCCCCATGTTGGCTAGGCTGATCTCAAGTCAAGCAATCAGTCCACCTTAGCCTCCCAAAGTGCTGGGATTAGACGCATGAGCCACTGCGCCCAGCTTGTAAGTTTTGAAATACTAAGAAATACCCAGGCTCATTTTTTAAAGTGACACATTGTATAGTAGCAACCACTGATTTAATGAAGTAGAGATTATCTTCTCTTTTTACAGATGAAGACAAGGGACTATTGAGATCTTTTTGAAGTACCAGATCTATTTACTGCCAAACATCTCTGCATTTGACGACCTCCAGGCATTTCAATGTATACATTTTCAGAACAGAATGCTACCCACCCCACAGCCCCTTCTTTGTATTCTTCAGCTCGGGGAATGGCATCACCATTTTCATTTGCCCATAATAATTTTTATCGGTAATCAGTGATCCAAGGTTAAGCCATAAAACAAACCAGTATTTATCCTTCCATATGAAACAATTTTATCTGAATTAAAAATTGTCCCAGTTTCTTCATTTGCATCATTTCCTGTTCATTCATGTTAATATGTACACAGTTCACATTTATTTATCACCATTTGATTGCCTTTTTCCACACTTGGAAGAATATTTGTACTGGTTTGCTATTTGGGCCTTGTGTTAGACCTCCTACATCTCAGGAAGGATTTCCTCCTTTTTAGACTGTCTCACAAGGAGCACAGCCTGCAACAGCATCTTAATGAAGGGTACACAGAACATAACAAATGCCAAGTTTTGCATGATGAAAACATCTTTATTTCCCTCTCAAGTCTATTGCTAGCTTAACTGTTATACAGGCTTCCAAGTTGAAAAATTATTTTCTCAGAAATTTAAAAGCAGGCCGGGCGCGGTGGCTCAAGCCTGTAATCCCAGCACTTTGGGAGGCCGAGATGGGCGGATCACGAGGTCAGGAGATCGAGACCATCCTGGCTAACACGGTGAAACCCCGTCTCTACTAAAAAAAATACAAAAAACTAGCCAGGCGAGGTGGCGAGCGCCTGTAGTCCCAGCTACTCGGGAGGCTGAGGCAGGAGAATGGCGTGAACCCAGGAGGCGGAGCTTGCAGTGAGCTGAGATCCGGCCACTGCACTCCAGCCTGGGCGACAGAGCGAGACTCCGTCTCAAAAAAAAAAAAAAAAAATTTAAAAGCATCATTCCATTTTCATCTGCCATTCAAGTGTTTCTGCCTAATTCCTCATCTCTTGCACGTATATCATCTGTTTCTTTCTGAAAAAATCTTTTATTCCCTGTGTTAAAAAAATGTCATGATCCTATGTCTCTGAGTGGCTCTCTTTCTAGACATTATGCTCTGTAGCTAGTGGAAATGCAGTTTTTCTGGTATGATTTCCCATTCTGGAAGGCAGCTATGTTTACTATACCATACCACCACCACCAGTGCCTACTTCCCATTCTGAAACTCCCTTATTCAGATGGTGGCTTTCTAGTACAGATACTGTATCTTTACTTCTTTCTCTGTCTTCCAACTGTTAAGCTTTTCGTTCTAAATGATTTATTTATTCAAGTCCACACTACTTTCTGCCAATACATTTCACAATGTTTTCTTCTGTTCCCTTTGTTTCCGTTTGCTGTCCCATGTGAGAGATAACACATGTGGCTATCCATGGCTATCTGTGTATACCTAAGAGTGAAACTGACTAGCAGCAGTGAGGGCTGAGCTTGTGATTCAAAGGGTGCTCAAACTGCCATCATCATTTAGGGCTTCTCTCTTGGAGCACAGTGAGGAGTGGGGGTGGATTTCTCACCATTCAGTATCCAAACTTTCCCTTACTTATACTGTTTTAAAACAATGGCTCATCTACATCTTCAGCAGTAAAAAACGCTCCTCCGTAAAGTAAATCCCCTATCTTCTGACAGAGGCAGAAAAAGAGCAATCGCCAGACTTCGCAGGTTGGGAAGAAGTCTGGACTTTAAATTTCCAACCAAGCCTCTGGTTCTCGCCCCTATCTATCTTCCACCTTCAGCAGTCCCCAGTGCTTCCAAGTTAGGAGACTTTCTAGAGACCTGTGGAGTAAACTGGTTTCTACCATCCTCCAGTAGCCTTAGGTTTCAGCTTCCGTTGGTTTGCTGTATCAACTACTTTTTGCTTACTCTGCCCTGTTTAATTTGGAGTTACTCTATTATTTTTCTTACCCAGCTAATTCCTATTTGTATTTCCTAAGACTTAGTTTAGATACACCCTTTCCACAAACTTTGGTTTCTAAATTTGAGAATAAATATGGCTTTGAAAACTGTTTAATAGGCCGGGCACAGTGGCTCACGCCTGTAATCCCAGCACTTTGGGAGGCCAAGGCGGGCAGACTGCCTGAGCTCAGGAGTTTGAGACCAGCCTGGGCAATACGGTGAAACCCCATCTCTACTAAAATACAAAAAATTAGCAGGGCGTGGCGGTGTACATTTGTAGTCCCAGCTACTCAGGAGGCTGAGGCAGGAGAATTGCTTGAACCCAAGAGGCAGAGGTTGCAGTAAACTGAGATTATGCCACTGCACTCCAGGCTGGGCAACAGAGCAAGACTCTGCTTCAAAAAAAAAAAAAAATTGTTTAATCAAAATTTCCCTCTTTACTCTTGTCTTCCATTTTGATGACAGCCAACTTTTAAAAAATTTTCTTTGCAGCCATAAAAAAGAATGAAATAATGTCCTTTGCCACAACATGGATACAGCTGGAGGCCTTTATCCTAAGCGAATTAATGCAGGAACAGAAAAGCAAATACTGCATGTTCTCACTTGCAAGTGGGTGCTAAGTGCTAGGTACACATGGACATAAAGATGGGAACCACAGACACTGGGAACTACTAGAGTTGGGAGAGAGGAAGGGAAGTGGGCAGGGCTGAAAAACTACACATTGGGTACTATGCTTAATAGTGGGGTGATGGTATCATTCATACCCCAAACCTCAGGATCACGCCATACACCCATGTAACAAACCTGCATGTGCCCTGAATCTAAAAGTTAAAATCATTAAAAATACTTTTAATCTCTTATCTGTAAACTATAAAACCATCCTTACAAAGAAAAGCCAAAAATATTAAGGAGACCTGTAAAATATGAGTTCTTAATAAAGTAGCAATCCAGCTCCAAAATGAGTGTCCAATACACAGGTAAAGAGCAAACTGGCCAGGTGCTGTGGTTCATGCCTGTAATCCTAGCACTTTGGGAGGCCAAGGCGGGCGGATCTCCTGAGGTCAGGAGTTCGAGACTATCCTGGCTAACATGGTGAGACCGCGTCTCTACTAAAAATACAAAAAATTAGCTGGGCATGGTGGCATGTGCCTGTAATGCCAGCTACTCGGGAGGCTGAGGCAGAAGAATCGCTTGAACCAGGAGTCAGAGGTTGCAGTGAGTTGAGATGGATGGCACCACTGCACTCCAGCTTGGGCAACAAAAGCGAAACTCTGACTCAAAAAAATAAATAAAGAGCAAACTATTCTAGAATATGCCCTTTTTGATTTATATATGCATAAAGGCAGTTAGTTATTTATAATCTTCCTTGGGGTCAAAAATTCCTTTGAGAATTTGATAAAAGCTACAAAACATCTCAAAAAAACCTGCCCCCATTATCTTAGAGAAGCTTGTTTCAATGTTCCTCTTTGAATAACAAACATCAGTATAGTCAGTCTGATCCACTAGTTTGTAGACATCATGTTCATTCTTCTTCACTTTTCTTCATTCTATTAACTTGGAAGAGGCCATCTACAAGACTACTGTTTTCAGAACTTCAGGAACCAACCCAAGTACCACCTCATCACAAAGCCTTCGCTAATCAATCCAGTCAAGATGGCTGACTATTCAATTCATGTATCACTTCCTTTTTGTCCTTTCCTTCTCCTTCCACTCCTCCAATAAATTAAGTGCCTACAGTGTGCCACAAGTGTTGCAAAGGACTTCCGGGTCACTATAGTGTCGTACTGTTAATTGCTTCACTTTTTTTCTTTTTTTTTTTTGAGACAGACTCTCGCTCTGTCACCCAGGCTGGAGTGCACTGGCGTGATCTTGGCTCACTACAACCTCCGCCTCCCAGGTTCAAGCGATTCTCCTGCCTCAGCCTCTCAAGTAACTAGAATTACAGGCATGTACCATCATGCCCATCTAATTTTTGTATTTTTAGCAGAGACGGGGTTTCACCATGTTGGCCAGGCTGGTCTCGAACTCCTGACCTCAAATGATCCACCTGCCTCGGCCTCCCAAAGTGCTGGGATTACAGGCGTGAACCACTGCGCCTGGCCTGCTTCACTTTTTTTTTTAAGTCCTGATCATCTTAAAAGCAGGAATTGTCATACTATATAGAAGTTCAAAGAGGTGACAATGTGATCAAACTCTACAATCAATACAATTAATGCTTTTTTTTTTTTGAGGCGGAGTTTCCCTCTTGTTGCCCAGGCTGGAGTGCAGCCTCAGCCTCCGCCTCAGCCTCTGGAGTAGCTGGGATTACAGGAGCCCGCCACCATGCCTGGTTAATTTTTTTGTATTTTTAGTAGAGACAGGGTTTCACCATGTTGGCCAGGCTGGTCAATTAATACTTTTTAACTCATTTAACAGGTGGCAGAAGTAGGGTTTAGCTTAAGTTTAGACAATAAAAGCAAGACAATTTGTCCTTAAGATTTTCACATTCATGGAACCTACAATTCACAATGTAACCTACAATGATCCTGAATTGCATCACTGTCATATAAGTGTCAAGTAAAGGTTCTGTTTAATATTCCCCAAATGGAAAACCAATCTTAGCCACTGACCTGTTGCTCTCAGGTTCAGACTGGGGTGAAACTTGATGATTATTTAGAAGTCTTGTCGCATAAGAATTTGTTCCTTCTGAAAGATGTCTTCTTGGAACACTTTCCTTAGGAGAAGAAAAGCTTGGAGTTGAAAGAGCAGTTGGCCGAAACAACAGTTCAGCATTAATCTGTTGGAGGGAAAAATCATCATTTCAAAGGAACTATTTCTAGTGTGACATGCCCAAAACACAAGATATAATCTTCCTTTTCCCCTTTATCCCAGAAGACAGAAAAACAATTCTAAACATGTAAATCCCTTGTGCTATTAACAGGACTCAACAAGTCAACCCATGAACTAAATCCAGCCTGCAAGTAGGCTAAGAATGGCTTTGTATTTTTAAAAGATGTGAAGAAACAAAGCAACAAAACAAAGAAGATGCAACAGAGACTTTATGTGGCCCGCAAAGCCAAAAAGATTTACCATGTGGTGACCTCTTTGCTGCTGGACTTATCAAGACCCAAACTTCTCAAGCAAGAAGCACAACCGCCTACTTGTATTCAGATGGCCCGATTTACAATGGCATCAACTTTATGATGGTGCAAAAGCAATACCCATTCAGCAGAAACTGTACTTTGAGTACTCAAGCAATCATTTTGGCTTTGTTTTTCACTTTCAGTATTCAATAAAATTCATGAGATACTCAACACTTTATGATAAAACAGACTGTTAGATGACGGTCCAATGTAGGCTAATATAAGAGTTCTGAGCACAATTAAGGTAGGCTAGGCGAAGCTATGATGTTCAATAGGTTAAGTGTATTAAATACATTTTTGATAACAATATTTTCTGTGTTTTTGGGGTGTATTTTTTGTTTTTTTGAGGCAGAGTCTCAGTCTGTTCCCCAGGATGGAGTGCAGTGGTGCAATCTTGGCTCACTGAAACCTCCACCTCCCGGGTTTAAGCAATTCTTATGCTTCAGCCTCCTGAGCAGCTGGGATTACAAGCGCCTGCCACCATGCTGAGTTACTTTTTATATTTTTAGTAGAGACAGGGTATTGCCATACTGCCCAGGCTGGTCTCTAACTTCTGGCCTCAAGTGATCCGCCCACCTCGCCCTCCAAAAGTGCTGGGAACACAGGCATGAGCCACCACAGCTGGCCAAAAACATTTTCAACTTATAAGAAGCTTATTAGGATATAACTCTACGGTAAGCCTAGGAGCATCTATACTCAACCAAAGCTCTTTAACACAGTAAGTATTAAGACAGAAGAGAGAAGCCAGGCACAGCAGTCGACACTGGGAAAAACACTATGGTTTTTGTCCAGGTTAGGACTAGAATATGGCTTCCTGGGTATTCCTGGGACGTTTTCCTTAACTGCTTATCTAACAGTACAATTTTTAAACGTTTGTTTCCCTTTCCTCAGAAGATACCCAACTAAACAATAAAACTAACGGTTTGAATGATGTTGGATTAGAAAGAGTTGGAAAGGTGGGCAATGAGAAGTACAAGAGAAGAGAAGAAAATGAACTAAATAAACCAAATCCCTTTGATATGTATTAAACTTTAACATTCACTACTGATTAAACTAAGCATCACACAGTATAAGACACAGCTACAAAATGGAAAGTTTGGACAAGTGTGGTGGCTCACACCTGTAATCCCAGCACTCTGGGAGGCTGAGATGGGAGGATTACTTGAGGCCAGGAGTTCAAGACCAGGCTGGTCAACATAGTGAGACTCCATCTCTATTTTATGTATTTTATTTTTTGAGATGGAGTCTCGCTCTGTGGCCCAGGCTAGAATGCAATGGCACCAATCTCTCTCACTGCAACCTCCGCCTCCCAGGTTCAAGCAATTCTCCTGTGTCAGCCTCCCAAGTAGCTGGAACTACAGGCATGTGCCACCACATCCAGCTAATTTTTGTATTTTTAGTAGAGACAGGGTTTCACCATGTTGGCCAGGCTGGTCTTGAATCCTGACCTCAGGTGATCCACCCGCCTCAGCCTCCCAAAATGCTGGGATTACAGGTGTCAGCCACGACACCCAGTCCCAATCACTATTAAAAAAAAAAAAAAAAAAAATGAAGGCTTAATTACCCGAGGGATCATTTCCGGTTGTCTGATCCTGAATTTTTCCTTGTTGCTTTAAAATAAAGATGAAAAACATGTTGTTATTTCTTAATCCCATTTCCCAACGATATACCTGCCATTTATGCAGTTACTAAGGTACTCTGAACTCTGCATCTATTTCAATATAATCAGCAGTAAGCCCTTTGGGAAATATTTTCTACCTTTTATCTCGGTAGCATCCTAATTTCAGCCTGAATTTTTCCATCCTCACGGGTATAAACTGCAGATCTTTGGTGTTTTTTTCTCCACTAAGACCAGATAACTCAGTCCAGAATCACAGACTTTTGAACTAGAATATCACATAGGTTTTTTTTTTTTTTTTTGAGAGGGAGTCTTCCCCAGGCTGGTGTGCAGTGGTGCAATCTCAGCTCACTGCAACCTCTGCCTCCCAGGTTCAAGCGATTCTCCTGCCTCAGCCTCCCAAGTAGCTGGGATTACAGCACATGCCACCACACCCAGCTAATTTTTGTATTTTTACTAGAGACGGGTGTCGCCATGTTGGCCAGACTGGTCTCAAACTCCTGACCTCAAGTGATCCACCCACCTCAGTCTCCCAAAGTGTTGGGATTACAGGTGTGAGCCACCGCACCGGGCCCACATGGGTTTCTATACTTCTAATACTATTGCTGGATTTCATTAAAGAATAGTACACTACAAATCAAAGCCATCTGAAAGGCTTAGTAACTTGGCCTTCTGTGTGTGGTAGATTAGCATGAAGTCTCCACTGGCTGACTATCCTTATTCAGCATCTGTCCCGCCTCCATTTTCTTTCTTTTTTTTTTTTTTTTTTAAGATGGAGTCTCACTCTTGTTGCCCAAACTGGAGTGCAGTGGCGTGATCTTGGCTCACTGCAACCTCTGCCCCCCAGGGTTCAAACGATTCTCCTGCCTCAGCCTCCCAAGTAGCTAGGATTACAGGCACCCGCCACCACACTCGGCTTGTATTTTTGGTAGAGACGGGGTTTTGGTAGAGATTTGTATTTTTGGTAGAGACGGGGTTTCACCATGTTGGCCAGGCTGGTCTCAAACTCCTGACCTCAGGTGATCCACCCGCCTCAACCTCCCAAAGTACCACATTCATTTTCCATTATTCCCATTCACATACTGTAGCTAAACTGAGCAAATGTTTGTTCCCTGTACATTCTCATCGTTCCCATTCTTCAAGGCCTATTACAAAAATGACCTCCTTCGTGAAGTTTCCTGATCTATTTCTGCTCTCCCACCCACCAGACAGAACCACTCTCCCTATGAGCTTCCTTACAGGACTGGACCAGAGCTTCTATGGCACTCACCAACACCTAACTGGTAAAATTCACATCTCACCTCTTCTGTTAAACCTTCTCTATAAGCTTGAATGGGGCAGTATTCACTAATGATTCCTCTGTGTACAGCTCAAAACAGCAGACTGCTCTTACACAAAACATCTGGCACATATGGCAGCAATAAGCATGAAAGAAACAGCAGATATTCAGAGCATTAAGTTTTTGTTTTTGTTTTTGTTTTGTTTTTTTTGAGACTGAGTCTGGCTCTGTCGCCCAGGCTGGAGTGCAGTGGCCGGATCTCAGCTCACTGCAAGCTCCGCCTCCCGGTTTTACGCCATTCTCCTGCCTCAGCCTCCGGAGTAGCTGGGACCACAGGCGCCCGCCACCTCGCCCGGCTAGTTTTTTGTATTTTTTAGTAGAGATGGGGTTTCACCGTGTTAGCCAGGATGGTCTCGATCTCCTGACCTTGTGATCCGCCCGTCTCAGCCTCCCAAAGTGCTGGGATTACAGGCTTGAGCCACCGCGCCCGGCATAAGTTTTTGTTTTTAAAGCCCTTGATATTACACACTCCACATTATAAACTTTTTCAGTTACACGAGCTTTACCTTGGAGAAGCATCAACTAATGTGGCCAAGGCATCAATGTTCATGATCTGGGCATTATTACCCACCATACACCACTACAACACTCACGTCTTTTTGTAGGTTTTTTCATAAGTGGGATGTACCAAATCCTCATCTTCAGGTTCTTCTGGAACCTCACAATTTCTATTCAGAAAAATCACACAGGAATAACATGTCACCAGTGCCTATCCATACATTGTGAACAATACTTTCCATCTTTCCAAAAAGGGTACTACCAACTCTATGGTACCTGAACTGTGGGTCAGGGTTATTGGAGCAATACCATTTTTCAGGAAGTTGATCCATGCCATCAGGTAATTTCCGCCACTTTAAACAGGCATCACACTGAACCCATGTCTGATCAGGACGCTTCCTGTCCCAAAACAAGAACAAAATATTAACACAGAAATATGGACTTTAAATACTGCATCAGATGTTCCATGTCATTTCTACCACAAGATGCCGTTATTGAATTCCTTTCCTAAAAATTATGACATTAACTCTTTCAAAATTACGCTGGGTGCAATGGCTCATTCCTGTAATTCCAGGAGTTAGAGACCAGCCTGGACAACATGGTAAAACCCTGTCTCTACAAAAAACACAAAAATTAACTGGGCGTGGTAACGTGCACCTACTACTCAAGAGGCTGAGGTTGGAGGACTGCTTGAGCCCAGGAGGCAGAGTTTGCAATCACACTACTGTGCTCCAGCCTAGGCTACAGGGTGATAAAAAAAAAAAAAAAAAAAAAGGCAAGGCACGGTGGCTCATGCCTGTAATTTGTATTTTGGGAGGCCAAAGCAGGAGGGCTGCTTGGGCCCAAGAGTTTGGGACCAGCCTGGGCAACACAGTGAGACCCTGTCTCTACAAGACTTTTTTTAGAAATAAATTTTAAAAACAACTATTTTGAGTCAGGTGTGGTGGCATACACCTTAGTCTCAGATACTCAGGAGGCTGAGGTTGGAGGAATGCTTGAGCACAGGAGTATGAGGCCAGCCTGGGCAACATAGTAAGACCCTATCTCTCAAAAAATAAAACACAACGATTTTGGTTACCTTCAAAAGATTAAAAGTCACAAGCCAATTTGAACAATGTGACTTAAATGTATTAATAGCATTAAATTTTTTCCATAATAACTTAATATTCCAAATGCCTTGCCCTGAACTTTGTTGTTTAGTGTCTACAATGTCTGTATACATTATACTGTATTTATTAGCATAATAAATCACTGAAGTCCAGAAAACAGAATTCTGTGGTTATAATATAAGTAACTTTCAATCAGACACTTTTGACCTCTATATTTCTAAATAACTAAAATTAGTATACTTCTAGTTTACAAAATGCTTTCATATTTTTCTCATTTAAAAGTCACAGCTGGGCGCGGTGGCTCACGCCTGTAATCCCAACACCTTGGGAGGCCAAGGCGGGTGGATCACAAGGTCAGAAGATCGAGACTATCCTAGCTAACACGGTGAAACTCTGTCTCTCCTAAAAATACAAAAAATTAGCCAGGCGTGGTGGCGGGTGCCTGTAGTCCCAGCTACTCGGAGAGACTGAGGCAGGAGAATGGCATGAACCCAGGAGGTGGAGCTTGCAGTGAGCTAGATCGCGCCACTGCACTCCAGCCTGGGCACAAGAGAGAGATTCCGTCTCAAAAAAAAAAAAAAAAAAAAATTAAAATAATTCCTGTAAAGAACTTGTATATATTCTTCTTCTTTATTATTATTATTTTTTTTAAGAAATAGGTCTTACCACATTGCCCAGGCTGGCCTCCAATTCCTGGGTTCAAGCAATCATTCTGCCTTAGGATTACAGGCATGACCCACTGGATCCAGCCTATGTAGACTTATTTTACATATGAAAACTTCACCTTAATGTCAATAGCTTTTTAAATCTAGTTTTATTTCATTTTATTTATTTATTTTTTTTGAGACAGAGTTTCACTCTTTTTGCCCAGGCTGGAGTGCAATGGTGCAATCTCGCCTCATTGCAAGCTCTGCCTCCCGGGTTCAAGCTATTCTCCTGCCTCAGCCTCCCAAGTAGCTGGGACTAGTGGTGTGTGCCACTACGCCCGGCTAATTTTTGTATTTTTAGTAGAGGCGGGGTTTTACCATGTTGGTCAGGATGGTCTCAAACTCCAGACCTCAAGTGATCCGCCCACCTCAGCCTCCCAAAGTGCTGGGATTACAGGTGTTAGCCACCGCACCTGGCCTGCTTTTTAAAATCTAGCTTTGAAAAAAGTATTTAGATATTTATAAAAAACTTCAAAACCGGCTGAGTGCAGTGGCTCACACCTGTAATCCCAGCACTTTGGGAGGCCGAGGCGGGCAGATCACCTGAGGTCAGGTGTTCTAGACCAGCCTGGACAACATGGTGAAACCCCATCTCTACTAAAAATACAAAAATTAGCCGGGCGTGGTGTTGCACGCCTGTAGTCCTAGCTCCTCAGGAAGCTGAAGCAGAATTGCTTGAACCCAGGAGGTGCAGGTTGCAGTGAGCTGAGATTACACCACTGCACTTCAGCCTGGGTGACAGAGTGAGGCTCCATTTCAAAAAACAAAAAACAAAAAACCAAAAAAAAAAATCCAACCAACCAACCAACCAACCCAACCCAAAACTTCAAAACAATCCAGAGATTTATAAAGCATAACTTTACACTTTATATAAACTCCTTGTCTCAGGAGATTACCACTGTTAATTTTTAAAATACTGGCAGAATTTTTCTATGCTTATAAAGTATGCATGTGTATACTGACACATTAAAAAAATACAAGCTGGGCACGGCGGCTCATGCCTATAATCCCAGTACTTTGGGTGCGAGGCACCTGAACCCAGGACATTGAGACCAGCTTGGGCAACATAGTGAGACCCCATCTGTATAAAACTTTTTTAAATATAAAAAAATTGAAAAGTACAATGGGAAGCCTATAAACTGAGCTGCATCTTTTCTTGTTTTTCATTATATATCTTGGTTATCTTTGTAATAATGTATAAATTATGAGTAATATACATAATGTATAAATTATGTATAACAATGTATAAAGAATACACAGACAAAGAATACATATTGTTCATTCATTCATTTATAGGACTATTATCACATGATGTGTTACTAAGTGCCTGTCAGGCATATTATTTAATTCACATAATTCAAGGAGGCAAATGCTCTTAATGTTCCCATTTTATACACAAGAAAATGGAGGCTTACAAGAGGCCAAGTAATATGTTGAATGTCACATGGCTACTTAAGTGGAATGAGAATATGAATTCAAGATGGGTTTCAGTCCCCTCATTCTAATGATACACTACACCAGTGTTTTTCAAACTATTATATAATCCATTCATAGCATCTTAAAATAACATTAACATGCATCACATATGGGTAAACATTGTTTTATGAATGTTTTGTGTACATGTATACATGTTTACATTCTATTCACTGATTTTGCAGTGTGCTAATTCATGTTGCAGAATTTATTCCTTACTATGAGTTACAGTCCTAAGTTTGTGAAACATTGTACAATCCCTTTACTCTCTCATACCGCATCTTGATATCTAAGTGAGTTGACTGATATTTTTTTAAAATGTACTTACTGTATATCTTCAACTGGCAAATTTAGAGGATATTCTGTATTTTTCTTCACTTTCATTTCATTCCAGTAATCATTCAGCTTTTCTCCTAGTGCTGTTATTGTAAGTCTTAAAAAATCATAAAATCAATTTAAGAAAAATACTTTTCAAACATAAATCATAAATAATCTAGTAATGAGTAAAAAAACTCCAAAATATATAGTTAATAAAGAACATTCAAGGTACAGGTGACCCTTGAACAACACAGGTTTGAACTGCACTTATATAAAATTTTCTTTCAATAAATCAGAAAATTTTTTAGAAAGTTATAACAATTTGAAAAAAACTTGCACGAACTGCATTGCCCAGAAATATCCAAAAACTTAAGAATAAGTTAGATATGTCATGAATGCATAAAACATGCAAATATTAGTCTATTTTATAATTTACTACCATAAAATATACACAAAGCTATTTAAAAAGTTAAAATTTATCAAGACTTAAGCATATACAGACTGTAGGTGGTTTCATCTGCAGTCAGAAATGTAAACAAAGATGCAGTCTTAAAATTATAACTGCATAAGATTAATTATAGTACATACAGTACTATTATAATAATTTCATAGCCACCTCCTGTTGCTATTTTGGTGAGCTCAAGTGTTTTATTTGCTTCAAGTGTCTTATGACATGCTTATCTCCATGTAAGCATCTCCAAGAAATTTTGTATTGCAGTAAAAATCGTTTAGTGCAATCCTGTAAACCTTGAATAACACCACAGGACCCACACAAACTGCCACTAGTGATGCTAGCTGTTTTCCAAGAAGCAAAGTCATAATATAAGAAAAAGTCTAAATTGCTTGATATGTAGGTTGAGCATCCTGAATAGCTGGGGCTACAGGCACTTGCCACCTCACCTAATTTTTTTATTTCTTATTTTTTTGTAGAGACAGGGTCTTACTTTTTTGCCCAGGCTGCTCTCGAATTCCTGGCCTCAAGCTATTCTTTTGTCTCAGCCTCCCAAAGTGCTGGGATTACAGGGATGAGCCACCATGCCCAGCCTGTTTGAACAGGTGTTTAATGCAGACAAAAGTACTCTATTCTGGGAAAAAATGCCACAAAGAATACTTATTAGCAAAAAAGAGAAGCATAAACCAGCATTTAAGTCCAAGAAGGGACAGGCTAACCCTACTGCTTTGTGCAAATGTAGTCAGGTTTATGATCAGGACTGCCGTTATCTATAAAGATGCTAACCCTCAAGCCTTGAAGAGAAAAGACAAACACCAGCTGCCAGTCTTTTGGTTGCACAAACAGAAGGCCTACATGAGAAACCCTTTTTCTGACTGCTTCCATTGATGCTTTGTTCCCGAAGTCAGGAATTAACTTGCCAGTAAAGGACTGCCTTTTACAGTTCTTTTGATATTGGACAAGGTACCCTGGCCACCCATAACCCCATGAGTTCAACACCAAAGGCATCCAAGTGGTCTACTTGTCCCGAAACACATCTCTAATTCTGCCTCTAGATCATTAAGAGCGGGTAAGGGGGGTCATAAGACCTTTAAGGCTCACTACACACAGCAAGTCTATGGAAAAGGTTGTTAACGCTGTGAAAGACAACTCCGACAGAGAAAACATCATGAAAGTCTAGAGTAACGACACCACTGAAGATGCCATTATTAGTACAGAAAAAGCTGTGAAAGAAATCAAGCTCAAAACAAATTCCTGCTGTCCACATGTTGTGCATGACTTCACAGCATTTACAAGAGAGCCAACTGAGGAAATCATCAGAGAGATTGTGGATATACAGGAAAAAAAAGGTAGAGGGCAAAAAGTTTCAAGATATGGATATTGCAGGAATTCAAGAGCGAACAGACACCACACCTGAGGAAATCAACTGAAGCCGACTTGATGGAGATGAGTGTTTCTGAACCAGTGTTAGACAGTGAGGAAGAAGACAGAAGAAGCAGTGCCCAGACAACAAATTGACATTAGACAATCCAGCAGTTGGGTTCCAATTATTCAAGACTGCTTTTGACTTCTTTTACAATATGGACACTTCTATGATACAGGCACTGAAACTGAAGCAGACAGTGGAAGAAGGATTGGTACTGTACAGAGATATTTTTAGGAAAATAAAAATGCACTGGGCATGGTGGCTCACGCCTGTAATCCCAGCACTTTGGGAGGCCGAGGCAGGCAGATCTCAAGGTCAGGAGTTCAAGACCAGCCTGGCCAATATGGGGGAACGCCATCTCTACTAAAAATACAAAAATTAGCCGGGTGTGGTGGCACGGGCCTGTAGTCCTAGCTACTCAGGAGGCTGAGGCAGAAGAATTGCTTGAACTCGGGAGGCGGAGGTTGCAGCAAGCCGAGATCTGGACAACAGAGCAAGGCTCCGTCTCAAAAAAAAAAAAAAAAAAGAAAGAAAATAAAACTGTTAAAAAGTCAGACAGAAATTACAATGTGTAAAAATTAAACTGAGTGTGCCTGCCTTGCCTTCCACCTCTTCCCGTGCCATGGCAAAACCAATCCCCCTTCTTCCTCAGCCTACTCAACATGAAGACTACGAGGATGAAGACATATGAACCACTTCCACTTAATAAACAGTAAATATATTTTCTCTTCCTTATGATTTTCTTTGTTTTTGGTTTTCTTTTCTTTTTTCTTTGGAGACAGGGTCTCGCTCTGTCACCCAGTCCAGGGCGCAATGACGTTATTTAGGCTCACTGCCGCCTCCACCTTCCAAGTTCAAGCGATTCTCCCAAGGAGCTGGGATTACAGGTGCCCACCCCCATGCCTGGATAATTTTTGTATTTTCAGTAGAGATGGGACCGGGAGTGGTGGCTCATACCTGTAATTCCAGCACTTTGGGAGGCCAAGGTGACCAGATCACCTAAGGTCATGAGTTAGAGACCACCCTGGCCAACATGGCAAAACTCTATCTTTACTAAAAAAAAAAATATATATATATATATATATATACATACACAAAATTTAGCCGGGCTTGGTGGCAAGCGCCTATAATCTCAGCTACTTGGGAGGCTGAGATAGGGAGAACTGCTTGAACCCGGGAGGCGGAGGTTGCATTGAGCCGAGATTGTGCCACTGCACTCCAGACTAGATGACAGAGTGAGACTTCATCTCAGAAAAAAATAAAATAGTAGAGATGGGGTTTCACCATGTTAGCCAGTCTGGTCTCGAACCCCTGATCTCAAGTGATCTACCCGCCTCAGCCTCCCAAAGTGCTGGGATTGTGGTTCCCTGGTGGTCTAGTGGCTAGGATTCAGTGCTTTCCAAAGTGCTAGGATTACAGGTGTGAGCCACCGCACCAGCCTGAGCCACAGCACCTGGTCATGGTTTTCTTAATAACGTTTTTTTTCATTAGCTTATTTTAAGAATACAGTATATATTTAACATATGAAATACATGTTAATAGATCGTTTTCCTTTTTTTTTTAGAGACAAGGTCTTGCTCTGTCACCCTGGCTGGAAAGCAGTGGCACTATCGCAGCTCACTGCAGCTTCAAACTCCTAGGCTCCCATGAGCATTCTGCCTCGAGCATCCTGAGTAGCTGGGACTATAGATGGGTGCCACCATCCCCAGCTCAATCAACTATTTATGCTATCAGTAAGGCTTCCATTCAACAGCAGGTTCTTAAGGTTCTGGGGAGTTATGTGTAGATCTTTGACTGAGGGGTAGTCAGTCCCCCTAACCACTGTGCTGTTCAAGGGTCAATGGTACTTAACGTTGTCAGCTACAGGTACAAGTTGAACATCCCAAATCCAAAAATCCAAATTGCTCCAAATCTGAAACTTTTTGAGTACCAACCTGATACTCAAAGGAAATGCTCATCAAAGCACCTTGGATTTCACATTTTCAGATCTGCGATGCTCAACCAGTAGTTATAATGCAAACATTCCAAAATACAAAAAATCCAAACCAAAACACTTCCGGTCTCAAAGATTTCAGATAAGGATACTCAACCTGTAACAGAGCTTTATGTCTTCCTTTTCAACACCCCCTTTTTTTTCTGGCCTTATTACATTAGTTATTTCCTCAAGAGCATTAGTGAATAGCTGATATCCTTAACTCTTTGCCACCCTTCCAGGGAAAGCTATCAATTGTTCCCCATTAGTAATGTTGCTTGCTGTGTGTGTGTAAATACTCTGTTGTTATGCCCTTTGATTCAGTTTTTGTAAGTGTTCCTTTTAAAAATAATCGCAAGTACTTTTTCTCTACGTAGATGACTATAAGAGCTTTCTCTTATTTAACATCAATATGATGACTATACTCATTTCTTACATTAAAACCACCCATGTTGTCTTAGAACACAGCCCACTTGGTTTTAATGGTATTATTCTTTTAGCGTGTACTGGATGGTATTTACCAATATTTTAATTAAGACTTTTAATTCTATGATAAGAGATTGACATAAATTTCCTTTCCTGTACTCTTGAGCTTATTATCAAGGTTATGTGGCTTAATAAAACCTTTGACTATTGTGAACAGTGCTGCAATAAACATGAGTGCAGGTATCTCTTCGAATATACTGATTTCCTTTCTTTGGGGATATTTATCCAGCCATGTGATTACTCAATCATATGGTAAGTCTATTATTAGTTTTCTTGAGGAACCTCCATCCTATTCTCCAAAGCAACTATACTAATTTACTTTCCCACTAATAGTGTATAAGGGTTCCCCTTTCTCCACATCCTTGTCAGCATCCATTAACGAATAAATGAATAAACTATGGTACATACACACAATAGAGTATTATTCAACCACAAAAATGCTTCATTTGTAATGACATGGATGTAAATGGATATACCTGAAGGACATTCCGTTAAGTGAAGTAAGTCAGGTATAGAAAGCCAAATATCTCATGTTCTCATTCATATATGAGAGCTAAAAAATACTGACCTCAGGACATAGAGAGTAGAATGAGGGTTACCAGAGGCTGGGACAGGTAGTGAGGAGAGGGAAATAAAGGGTTGGCTAATGAGTATAAAAATACAGTTAATAGAAGGAATAAGATCCAGTATTTGGTAGCACAATAGGACAACTGGGACAGGCACGGTGGCTCACACCTGTAATCCCAGCATTTTGGGAGACCAAGGAAGGAGGATCATGAGGTCAAGAAATCGAGACCATTCTGATCAACATGGTAAACCCGGTCTTTACTAAAAATACAGGAAATTAGCTGGGCATGGTGGTGCGTGCCTATAGTCTCAGCTACTCGGGAGGATGAGGAAGGAGAATCACTTGAATCCAAGAGGCGGAGGTTGCAATGAGCTGAGAGGCCACTGCACTCCAGCCTGGTGACAGAGTAAGACTCAGTCTCCAAAAAACAAAAAACAAAAAAACAAAAAAAGACAACTGTAGTTAACAACATCTTATACATATATTTCAAAGTAACTAGAAAAGTAAAATTGGAATGTTCCTAACACAAAACATGGCAACTGCCTGAAGTGATGGATATCCCAGTAACCCTGACTTGATCATTACATGTTGTAAGCTTGTATCAAAATATCACATGTATTCCATACAAATGAACTATTATGTATTGTTTTAAATAGTTTTTTTTTTTTAATAAAAAGACTGATGCCACTTCTTCCTTAAATGTTTGAATTTAATATGTGGGACGTTTTCTAAAAACTGATTCAACTTCAAAGGAATGTCTCCACGTCATCTAAAATGGAGAAAATGTATTTGTGCTATCTGCTTAATGTCTCATGTCTGGAGGCTCTGTAGTAATTTCTTCTTTTTCATTCCTAATATTGATGATTTGTATCTTCTACTCTTTTTCCTTAATCAGTCTTGCCAAATGCTTATAGACTTTATTAGTCCTACCAAAGAACAACTTTTTGGATTTTTTTTTTTTTAGGCAGGGTGTGCAGATTTTTTTTTTCACCCAGGCGGGAATGCAGTGACACAATCACAGCTCACTGCAGCCTCAATCTCCCAAGCTCAAGTGATCCTCCCACCTCATTTTTTTATTTTCTGTAGAGATAAGCTCTCACTATGTTGCCCAGGCTGGTCTCAAACTCCTCAGCTCAAGCGATCCTCCTGCGCTGGCCTACTAAAGTGCTGGGATTACAGATGTGAGTCACTGTACCTGGCCTTTCTTTTCCTAAGATGGGATCGATCTCTGTCATCCGCATTGGAGTACAGTGGCGCCATCTCGGCTCACTGCACACTCCACCTCCCCAGGCTCAAACAATCCTCCCACCTCAGCCTCCTGAGTAGCTGGGACCATAGGCACATGCCACCACACCTGGCTAATTTTTTGGTAGAGACAGGGTTTTGCCATGTTGCTCATGCTGGTCTCAAACTTCTGAGCTCAAGCAATTTGCCCACCTTTGGACCCCCTTGGTGCTAGGATTACAGGCATGAGCCACCACACCTGGCTGACTTTTTTGATTGAGTCAGTTACCAATGTATTATCTCTACGCTCCAAATCTAGCCCAAGTTCTGGTACTTTGTTACTATTTTGCTAGGGCCTAGTGACCTCCCAGAGGAGCTTCAGCTGTGCCCACCAGGCCATGCTCTGCCCACCAGCAGTCTTCTGCTAGCTCCAACAACATAAGGCACCCTCTACAGACCAGCTCCAGCCTATCCACACACCCTATGTCAACCAGAGACCATGTCAATAGGCCAGCATTGGCCAGGCCCTCTATTTACCTATTTAAATTATTGACTTCTTTTTAAAGTTTATTTTCAAAACACCTGCATAACTTCTCTTAAATGTTTTGCCACCTTGTGGATTTTTTATTTTAATTACAAAATTATAATTACATTATCAAACTTTAAGAAAATGGGTAGGTAAGGGACTTACATAGAAAACTAATATAACCATCTTCCATTCTAGGAATTGTAACCTACACCATCACAAGTAGCATATGCATATTCAAACCTTTCTTTACTAATAAGGTATTTCTGAGATTCGCAGAAAATAGAGTAGTTCCTGCTTTCTTGGTAATCCATTTCCTAGGAACCTCAGTCAATAATTTAAATAGGTAACATACCTGTACTCATTAGTATAGTCGAAATCTTGTTTATTATGAGTTGGCTTAAGGAAATTACACTCTATAATTCCAACCACTCCAACACCCATGTTGTTTGCCTGAAAAAATAAAATGAAATCAGCATTTTAAGCATAAGACATGATGTTCAAAGTAATTACCCTTAAAGAATTATAATTTGAGTATTTTCCTATATTTTATCTTGCATGATTCTCATCACATTTATGCATTTTTATTTTTATTTCTATTTTTATTTTTTGAGACAGAGTCTCATTCAGCCACGCAGGCTGGAGTGCAGTGGCATGATCTTGGGTCACTGAAAAAGCCAAGAGGCCTCCCAAGCTCGGGTGACTCTCGTTGCCTCAGCCTCCCGAGTAGCTGGAAGTACAGGCACGCACCACCAAACCCAGCCAATTTTTCTATTTTTCGTAGAGACAGGGTTTCACCATGGCTAGTCTCAAACTCCTGACCTCAAGCAATCCACCAGCCTCGGCCTCCCAAAGTGCTGGCATTACAGGAATGAGCCACCATGCCCAGCCAATTCTCATCAAATTTAGACTGAAAAAAACACTGGTAGGTGATTTATTTTCCTGGGAGTTAATCTCTAAATACGCTAGAGCCTTCCTCAAAAACCCTTTGATTATTGACAAGTATCCATTTAGACAAGTATTATCATCCCCAATTTTATACAAGAGAAAAAGGACTACCTGCCGGGCATGATGGTTCACGCCTGTAATCCCAGCACTTTGGGAGGCCGAGGTGGGCGGATCACCTGAGGTCAGGAGTTCGAGAACAACCTGGCCAACATGGTGAAATCCCATCTCTACTAAAAACACAAAAAATTAGCCAGGCATGGTGGCACGCACCTGTAATCCCAGCTACTGAGGAGGCTGAGGCAGGAGAATCGCTTCAACCCGGGAGGTGGAGGTTGCAGTGAGCCGAGATCGTGCCACTGCACTCCAGCCTGGGCAAAAAGAGCAAAACTCCATCTCTCAAAAAGAAAAAAAAGAAAAGAGAACTACTTTTACTAGGGTACAATTTCTTAGAGAACAGAAACCACAAATAATTCATCTTGATCTTGTAGTGACTAGCTAAGACTCTGAAAGGCAATATTCCATAAGTTTGTGAGATAAAAGTTCAAAGTAAGGTATCCAGTTGCTAACGATGAAATAAAAACCTAGGTTGGTTAAATTAGTTATTTTTTAAAATCTGCTAGCTAAAATGTTGAACTCAAAGTATACGAGTCATCTTCTGATTATCTACATGTGACTAACCAGTATATTTTGTTCATGATTGTCGCTATACTTCTTACCCTATGAAGAAAAAAGTAAAATGATGTGTAACTCATGAAATGAACATTTTTATAAACACAACTATAAGCCAAACCATACAACTAATCCTAATTCTGCTCTATTAAAAACCATCAGGTTCACCATTTCAGACTATTTGTAAACTACAGTAATAACAAGATCCTTCTATCTGTGGTTTTTATCCATCTTCCTTCCAGCCTTATCCTGTCTCTCTCATTCCTCTGTTCTCCCCTTAACATATGGTCCAGCCACAGCAAATTACCCCCTTTATGATGTCATACTCTCAGACGCCTCTTTCTCTGCCTTTGCACATGTTGTCTCTCCCTGGAAAGCCCTTCCAGACTTTGTAGCACACTGAAGTCAACTGAGACTCATCTCAATCAACACTTTCTCTAAGCAGCCTTTTCTGATGCTTCCAAGGATGTTCCACAGTCCCCTCACAAAACTGAGCTTTGAGGGCATGCTCTGTATTTTATCAACTTTTTATGCTGAGCACCCAGCAGAGCAAATCACGATGGGTATCTGATACTTATTTAATGCTTACTGAATCCACAGAATGCAAATACCAGGCCCAGTCCATCATCTGGTAAAGACAAACATTGTAATTTAGCTGTAACAGCCTATTTTTACAAGGTAAGCTTAACTAGGAAATACACACAGTGCAAATTTAACTCGGTTGGGAAAATGGACTATGTATCTTGGTTAAGTCAGATTCATAAGTGATAAAAGAAAAAAATTTACATTCTGTGGTAGATATAAAGTTCATTTACTTCTGCAAATATGCTATATTTGGGCTCATGCCATATAAAGTAGGTGAAGCAGAGTCAGAACCCGTTAAGTGATATTCAAGGTGAATCCACATTGTTATACTGTGTAGAGCTCACATCATTCTACAAAAAACTCAGAATAAAGTAAGATAAAGAATTATCACCAAAATCTTAAAAATATACACTGGATCCATATCCAAACGCAGTTAAATGATGTGTTTCTGTCTGAGATCCAGGCTGTTGTGTCTTAGACAAGTTGCTTCATCTATTTATTATTAGCCCCAATTTCTTTTCTTTTTTTTTTTTTTAATTTTTTTTTTATTTAAGAGACAGAGTCTCACTCTGCTGCCCAGGCTGAAGTACAGGGGCAAAATCATAGCTCAGTGCAGCCTCAAACTCCAGGGCTCAAGCACTCTCCCACCTCAGCCTCCCAAATAACCGGGACTACAAGGACGTACAACCACACATGGCTAATTTGTTTTTGTTGTTTTGTAGAGACAGTGTTTTTGTGTGTGTTTGTTTGTGATAGGGTCTCACCCTGTTGCCTAGACTGAAAAGCAGAGGCACAATTTTGGCTCACTACAGCCTCAACTTCTTGGGCTCAAGCAATCCTCCCACCTCAGCCTCCTGAGTAGCTGGGACCCACCAGGCCCAGCTAATTTTTGTATTTTTTTGTACAGACAGGGTTTTGCCCCATTGCCCAGGCTGGTCTTGAACTCCTGGGCTCAAGCAATCCCCTTGCCTTGATCTCTCAAATGTGCTAGGATTACAGGTGTGAGGCACCATACTCAGCTGAGATAAAGACTTGGTATGTTGCCCAAGCTGGTCTTGAAGTACTGACCTCAAGCAATCCTCCTACCTCAGCCACACGAAGTGCTAGGATTACAGGAAAGAGTCACTGTGTCTGGTCCTCAACTTTCTTATGCATCAAATAGGGATAAAAGAAATATTCTGTCCCCACCTCAGGGCTGTTCAGTATCAAATACGAAATTAATGTAATAGGCCAGGCACAAGGGCTCAGGCCTGTAATCTGAGCACACTGAAAGGCCGAGGTGGGTGGATCACTTGAGGTCAGGAGTTTGAGGCCAGCCTGGGCAACAATCTGTCTCTACTAAAAATACAAAATTTGGCCAGGAGTGGTGGCACACGCTGGTAGTCCCAGCTACTTGGGAGGCTGAGGCCCGAGAATAGCTTGAACCAGGGAGGCAGAGGTTGCAGTGAGCTGACATCACACCACTGCACTCCAGCCTGGGTGACAGAGTAAGACTCCATCTCAAAAAACAAATAAATAAATAAACAAAAGAAATTAAGGTGCTGGCATGAACCTGTAGTCACAGCTACTCAGGAGGCTAAGGTGAAAGGATCACTTGAACCTGGGAGTCGGAGGTTGCAGTGAGCCAAAATTGTGCCACTGCACTCCAGCCAGGCACAGAGTCTCTCAAAAAATAAAAATAAAGCCGGGCGTGGGGGCTCACGCCTATAATCTCAGCACTTTAGGAGGCCGAGAGGGGTGGATCATCTGAAGTCAGGAGTTTGGGACACGCCTGGCCAACATGGTGAAATCCCGTCTCTACTAAAAACACAAAACAATTGGCTGAGTGCAGTGGCTCACACTTGTAATCCCAGAACTTTGGTAGGCCAAGATGGGCGGCTCACCAGGTCAGGAGATCAAGACCATGTTGGCTGACATAGTGAAACCCCGTCTCTACTAAAAATACAAAAATTAGCCAGGCGTGGAGGTACCTGCCTGTAGTCCCAGCTACTCGGGAGGCTGAGGCAGGAGAATTCCTTGAACCTGGAAGACGGAGGCTGCAGTGAGTCAAGATCTCACCACTGCACTCCAGCCTGGGCGACAGAGCGAGACTCTGTCTAAATGAAAAAACAAAACAAAACAAAACAAAAAACAGGCATGGTGGCATGCGCCTGTAGTCCCAGCTACTTGGGAGGCTGAGGCAGCAGAATCGCTTTAACCCAGACGGTGAACGTGGCAGTGAGTTGAGCCAAGATTGCGCCACTGCACTGAAGCCTGGGCAAGAGTGAGACCCTGTCTCAAAAAAAAAAAAAAAAAAGAAAAGAAAGTTCAAATACCATACTAATGTTATTTTTTACAAATTTACATTAAAAAGCCATAGGCAAAAAGGTACAATAAAATTATTTAACATTTGACCCAAGAGTGTATATTATCCTAACTTTTATGGAAAATAAACATTTTCTTTTCAAATAAAAAATAAAGCTTACCCTTAACTGACATCCAACTTTTTCATAAGCTTTGATGAGTCTATTTCTGTGATACATCATTATCCCATAATGATCTTTATTTCTGCAGTTGAATCCAAAGGTAATTCTCACTGTTTTAGACTTAAGATATTAAGGTAAATTTTGAACACAATACCCCACTCAGTTCAAATCATCCTTTCTATTTCATTATTTAATAAGTCCAAAAGCACAAAAGGAGGGCAGAGCTAGAGCAGACTAGAATCCCTATCAGCATATAAGGCGAAAGGGGCAAAAGAGAATACACCTGACTAACATATCTCTATAAGGAATCATAAAAAGAAAAAGGATACTAAAAATTTGGGTCGATAAACATCACGTTCGATGTAGGCAAGACTCTTCGAAACCAGCTGCGTCTTCACTTTCTGTCCACGTAGGATGATCTGCATTCTTGGCTTTAGATATAATATACTGCAATAAGCCTGTAAAATAACATAACAAGAAGTTAGTATCTACAGATTTGCTCACCATTACTTAGACACGGATTTACACAGAAGCTCTCCTATTAACTTGATAAAAGACCAATTGACTCTTCAATAAAATAGGCTATAAGGCTGTATGTTATTCTGATTTGGTTGTTTTTCATTAAAAATAAGCTCAATATACCGCAGCCAGTAAAAATGACTTGCAGAATACAATCAACTGATCTACATAGACACTGATATAGTTAATATTACTGAGTGAAAAAGATTACAAAACAGCACATATGGTATGACATTTTAATTTTTAAAAATGTATATATGTACAAAAAAGTACATTTTCTGATTTTTCTGTCAAGTACGGAGGTGGAGGCTGCAGTGAGCCGAGATCACACCACTGCACTCCAGTGTGGGCGACAGAGAGAGACTCACACCTCAAAAAAAAAAAAAAAAGATTCAACACAAAACTAAAACTTAAACATTTCTCTTACTTTTCCTGACCCTTGATTTCAAAAGAAGTAGTGCTTTGTGTCATTTAAAAAACATTGTATTTTGTAGTGTACTAAAACCATACCATCTTCTCTGGCTGCCTCTGAACTTGTTTTGTACTTGAGTAAGACTTTTTCAACACTAGGAACACATTAGGATACATCAATGAATAGTAAATATCTGCTATTTACTATTACTATTACTAATACTGTAATTGCTAAGACCTTAGCAAAAATTACATGGAAAATCTGTAAATATCAAATACATCCACAACTTGGGATTAGAGAATTATATTAACACAAGAAATAAAGCAAAAAGTGGCCAGGCTAGGTGGCTCAAGCCTGTAATCCCAGAACTTTGGGAGGCCGAGGCAGGCGGATAACGAGGTCAGGAGTTCAAGACAAGCCTGGCTAACATAGTGAAACCCCATCTCTACTAAAAATACAAAAATTGGCCAGGCAGGGTGGCGCATGCTTGTAGTCCTGGCTACACAGGGAGCTGTGCCAGAAGCAGCGCTTGAACCCAGGAGCTGGACGCCATGGTGAGCCAAGATGACGCCATTGCACTCCAGCCTGGGCAACAGAGTGAGACTCTGTCTCAAAAAAAAAAAAAAAAAAAGAAAGAAATCAAGCATAAAGTTAGTATCACGTCTTATCAAAACGACTAAAAAACTTTAGGGTGCAGTGGTTCATGCCTGTAATCCCAACACTTAGTGAGGCCGAGGCAGGCAGATCACCTGAGGTCGGGAGTTCGAGACCAGCCTGGCCAACATGGTGAAACCTCATCTCAACTAAAAATACAAAATCAGCTAGGCATGGTGGTACATGCTTGTAATCCCAGCTACTAGGGAGGTTGAGGCAGGAGAATCGCTTGAACTCGGGAGGCAGAGGTTGTGGTAAGCCAAGATAATGCCATTGTACTCCAGCCCGGGCAACAAGAACAAAACTCTGTCTCAAACAAACAAAAAACCTTGATATTAATTTATCGATATTGTTATATCAAGATATTAATTTCTTCAATCTTTTTTTTTTTTTTTGAGATGGAGTTTCGCTCTTGTTGCCCAGGCTGGAATGCAATGGTGCGGTCTTGGCTCACCACAACCTCTGCCTCCTAGGTTCAAGGCATTCTCCTGCCTCAGCCTCCCGAGCAGCTGGGATTACAGGCTCCTGCCACCACGCCCAGCTAATTTTTCTATTTTTAGTAGAGACAGGGTTTCAACATGTTGGCCAGGCTGGTCTCCAACTCCTGACCTCAGGTGATCCACCCGTTTCTGCCTCCCAAAGTGCTGGGATTATAGGTGTGAGCCACTGTGCTGAGCCAATTTCTTCAATCTTACACAGACACTCATTTTGACCAGGCGCGGTAGCTCATACCTGTAATCCCAGCACTTTGGGAGGCTGAAGCAGATGGATCGCTTGAGACCAGGAATTTGAGACCAGCCTGGACAACATGGTGAAACACTGTCTCTACCAAAAATAAAAAAAAATAGCCGGGTGTGGTGGCACACGCTTGTAGTCCCAGCTACTCGGGAGGCTGAGGTGGAAGGATTGCTTGGGGCCAGGAGGCAGAGGCTACAATGAGCCAAGATCGCACTGCTGCCCTCCAGCCTGGCTGAGAGAGTGACACCCAAAGACCTAATCTCCAAAAAGAAAAACAACAAAAACCTCATTTCTAAAGGGAAAATCCTAGAGGCATTTATCACAAAATTATATTAATGTGCCTTATCTATCTATAGTCTATAATTTATTGCTTTAGGAGGACAATTAAGGTACGTATTCTAGAACATATTAAATTTTTTTGTGTGAGTGACGGAGTCTCACTCTGTCACCCAGGCTGGAGTCCAGTGGCGCAATCTCGGCTCACTGCAACCTCCGCCCCCTCTTGCCCCACCTCCAGGTTCAAGTGATTCTCCTGCCGAGTAGCTGGGATTACAAGTGTCTGCCACCGCGCCCGATTAATTTTTGTATTTTTAGTAGAGACGGGGTTTCAGAATCTTGGCCAGGCTGGTCTTGAACTCCTGACCTTGTGATCCACCCATCTTGGCCTCCCAAAGTGGTGGGATTACAGGTGTGAACCACCACGCACAGGCAAATACGTCAAATTTAATAAGACTTTGAATTTGTTGTCTGTTGAATTAATTAGTCTGGCCACCATACACTGATTAATATAATAATATACTGATTCTAATATGATAATAATGTCAGCATATAGTAAAAACTACAAGCATTGTTAGGCCTGACGACTTTACAATTTAAAAAGGGTTTCTAAGCAAATAAATCAACCAGTGTGCTAATGAAAAGTTTAACTAAGCTGGTTCATGTCTGAGATACTTTCATTCAGAGAGCACTGGCAGCCTTTATATCACAAGTAGGTAACATGAGCTCTCCTAATACTACCATCATTCAATGATTTTCTCACTTCTACAAAGAGAGTTGAATACATACCCTCAGGGAATAGTCACTCTCAGGGGCAATCTGGTCCATCCTTTCCTGCTTCTTATACCCCTTCTTCCCTGTTATCTCATCTAAATCCTCAGGAATTCTGATATCATATTTATCCTTTTCAAAATCGAACTCCGTTGCATTTTTGTAACTGCAAAAAAAATTTTTTAGAAAGAACCAAAAATTAACTTCACAGCAAGATAAGAAAGCAAACACTGTAAGCCATTAAAAAGGTAAGCAAATAAATAAACCTACACATGGTGCATGTCAGTGGGGGACTGGGGGTGCAAAGGCAAGAGAAAAAAAAAGAAAACGGATCCTGGAAGATGTGGAGAAACTGTATCACTCGTACATTGATAGTAGGAAAACACTCGGTAAAACAGTCTGGCATTTCTTAGAAAATAAAACTCAAGTACTATATGATACAGCAATTACATGCCGGATATTTATTTCAGAAAAATGAAGACTATATTCCCACAAAACCATGTACACAAATGTTTACAGCTTTATTTGTAATATCCCAAAACTATAAACCCAGATGTCTTGAATAGGTAAACACACTGGGTTCCACACATACAATGAAATACTACTCAACAAGAAAAAGGTGCAAACTGGCTGGGTGCGGTGGCTCACACCTGTAATCCCAAGCACTTTGGGAGGCTGAGGCGCGTGGATCACCTGAGGTCAGAAGTTCAAGACCAGCCTGGCCAATATGGCAAAACCCTGTCTCTACTAAAAATATAAAAATCAGCTGGGCATGATGGCAGGTGCCTATAATCCCAGCTACTCGAGAGGCTGAGGCAGCACAATCACTTGAACCCAGTGGGCGGAGGTTGCAGTGAGCCGAGATGGTGCTACTTCACTCCACCCTGGGGGAAGAGCAAAACTCCACCTCAAAAAAAAGAAAGAAAAGAAAGAAAAGAAAAAGGTCTATACATACAAGAACCTGGAAAACATCAAAAAGTTATGCTAAGTGAAAAAAGTCAATCCCAAAAGGTTTCCATGTTGTTTACGTAATATTCTTAAAATGGCAAAATTATAGAAATAGAGAACAGATTAGAGGTTGCCAGGGATTAAGGAGGGAGTGGGGTTATGAGGGAAGTGGGTATGGCTATAAAAGGGCAACATGAGGGATTCCTGTGATGACTAAAGTGTCCTGCATTCTGACTGTATCAATGTCAAAATCCTGTCAATATCAATAGCACTACTGTACTACAGTTTTGTTAGATGTTACTACCAGGGGAAACTGGATAAAGCGTACATGAGATCTCTTTATTACTTCTTACAACTACACGTGAATCTACAATTATCTCAGAAAGTATAACTGAAAAAATCCTCCAGGAGAAGGAGGGGTAGGGAAGTGAAAGCATGAAAAATGAATTCAGGTATCAGAATAGCACAAGTTTTTTCAGTTCTTTAGTCTTATCACTACCCTGTGCTTTATTCCTGTGATTCAGTATGTCTTAGATCTTTCAATATTAGACATTAGTCTTAAATTTTAAAATTTATTTGTGAAGGATTTTATCCTCACAAAGATAAAGGATTATAAATTTTAGCAACGCAAAAATCTCACCTATATTACTTTTCTCATCAGGTGTTACATCACTTTTAGCTTTAAGTAATGGACACAATGAAGAAAGATTTATCCTCCTAAATTTGTCTTCTCATTGCTTTTTTTCTCTTTTCTTTTTTTGAGAAGACGGGGTGGAATAAATGAGACATAATGGAGTGCTAACGGAGACTGAATGGCAGGGATAGAAAATTTTATTTTTTTTGGCTGGGTGCAGTGGCTCATGCCTGTGATCCCAGCATTTTGGGAGGCCGAGGCAGGTGGATCACCTGAAGTCAGGAGTTCTAGATCAGCCTGGCCAACATGGAGAAACCCCGTCTCAACTAAAAATACAAAAATTAGCCGGACGTGGTGGCAGGCGCCTGTAATCCCAGCTGCTTGGGGGGGCTGAGGCAGGAAAATCGCTTGAACCTGGGAAGCAGACGTTGCAGTGAGCTGAGATCGTGCCATCACACTCCAGCCTGGGGGACAAGGGCGAGACTTCATCTCAAAAAAAATAAATAAAAAAAGAAAGAAAAGAAAATTTTTTTTAACAATATGAAAATATCCTGGGCAAAGACAAATCAGTAACTACACCAAAAAATGAGTACCTTTCCATGTATTTCTACTATGTGTAACAAGAGATGAATGTAGGGACACCACCCTGCACAAGCACTTTACTCCCAAACGGTCAACATCTATGTCTACATTTACCTTCTGAGATTCCAAATGATGATCCTTGTCCCCTTCTTGCCCATAATAGCATCAAGTTCTGCCAGTAACTTCTGTTCCGTAGAAAACAGAGAATGTTCCAGAATTGCAGCAAGGCTGGCTTTTGATTCTGCTAAATTAATCATCTGTCGTATATCGTAAGTTAAAGACTCAGATTGCCAACATATTTTTCATAATTACAATATGAAAACCAACTCTGTAAACTTAAATAACAGAAAAACTATTTATACATAGTTTTCCAAGGTTTTTTTTTTTGAGATAGGGTCTCACTATTGCTCAGGCTAGAGTGCAGTAACATGATCAGGGCTAACTGCAGCCTAGCTGGGACCACAGGCACCCACCACCATGACCGAGTAATTTTTAAATTTTTGGTAGAGACAGGGTCTCCCTATGTTGCTTGAGCTGGTCTCGAAATTCTGGACTCAAGCAATCCTTCTGCGTTGGCCTCCCAAAGTGATGGAATTTCACGCATCAGCCACCGAGCTCAGCCTATTTTCTTTTTTTTTTTTTTTTTTTGAGACGGAGTCTCGCTGTGTCGCCCAGGCTGGAGTGCAGGGGCCGGATCTCAGCTCACTGCAAGCTCTGCCTCCCGGGTTCACGCCATTCTCCTGCCTCAGCCTCCCGAGTAGCTGGGACTACAGGCGCCCGCCACCTCGCCCGGCTAGTTTTTTGGTATTTTTTAGTAGAGACGGGGTTTCACCATGTCAGCCAGGATGGTCTCGATCTCCTGACCTTGTGATCCGCCCGTCTCGGCCTCCCAAAGTGCTGGGATTACAGGCTTGAGCCACCGCGCCCGGCCTCTCAGCCTATTTTCTAAGTTTTACCATGGCAGTTTGATTTCAAACAAACATCAAGAAGAATAAAAAATGAGCAGGTTATTATTCCTAACTAACTTAATACTTTCCAATATTTCAATGTGTTCATACAAAAGGCATTTTCCTAAAGTTATCCTGCCTTTCGTGGTCACTAGTCAAATTTTCAAGCCAGACCATAAAGTCTTACTAGTCTACAATAACCCTGAACTAAACAGAAGAGGTATAGGAAGTTTAACATAAAATGTTGAGTATTTCCATAGTAGGAGTCCAACAGAGAAGAGAAAGGAACAAACCCTTAGCCTCAGGTGTATGGTAAATGCAGAGGACAGAGGTAAGAAATGGAATAGGTGTTATTCAAAGGAAATAATTTGGAAGAAGGTAAAAATATGCAATGTTTCCGAATTATTTCTTCAGTTTCTCCACAGCTTTTGCACAACCAAAAGGATATGGTGCTTGTTGAATGCCACTATTGGAACAACAACATGCTCCGCTTTTATGACTTCCAAGTAGGTCTGAGACAAAAGGCCCACACTCATGCTTTCTCCATTTTTGGTAAAAACAATTGCATCTTTACCCAGACGCATAGAACCTGACTTGAAGCCATTCCCATATAATCCAACTGGCACATGACCATTCATGGTGACTTTGTCACTGAAGCCAAAGCTACGAAGAAAAGAAAGATTAAAAAAAATAAATACCTATCATCAAAAATAAATAAATAAATACCTACAATTTTTTTTTTAATTCATTAATTGTAATACCAAGTAAAAAGCCTGGGTTCAAATGCTGGCCTCACCCTTCCTAGCTGTATAATCTTGGGCAGATTACTTTTTTGTTGTTGTTGTTGATTTTTTATGTATTGGGCAGATTACTTTTAATGTATCTTGATGTGTTTTCCCAGCTCTGAAATGAAGGAAACCAAATCTACGTCACAGGGGAGAGAAAGGATCACAAGTACTAACATGGAAACTCATTGCTGGCACACCCTGACTAAATAGCTGAGTATAACCCATGCTCCTGGGACTGTGAGATTTCACCCCATGAATCTCTTCCTCTGAAAGTTACTCCCAACAAAGTGGTAAGTTTTATTACAAATACTGGTTAAACCTAATTTACACTAAAGTTATCAGTAATTGATACAAATATACTACAACTCTAAAGGAATGGTGGACTTTTAGGGAGCTGGAGGTAGGGTGGAGTAGGTGATGAGAATGGTGAGGACTGACTAATCAACTACCAGGAGTAGAAAATCATGGGAAGACTCTTAGAGAACAGCCCACACTGTACAAACAGCATTTCATTTCAAAAAACAAAAACCAAGAATAGTCAGTATGGCATGGGAAACCCTTTAGGCAAAAGCAACAATTTTAAGAAGTGTGGCACATTTTTACCTACCTTAGCATTTTATGTAATTTATCAGAAGTCATACCATTCCCATTGTCAGTGAATGTCAAGCATATATGGTCATTTATTACTGTTTTGTCAATCCATATTTGTTTAGCGTTCACATCAGGATCGTAAGCATTATCTGGGAAACACAAGTTTGAAGAAATTCTGATTTTCCACTTTAAAAAAGAGCAATTAGTTCAGAACAATCCTATAAGAAGCAATAGAAGACTATGTTTTAAGACAACTTTAAAAGCTGCAATTTTTAGCAACTCCTAAGATTTAAGAACATGAAAATAAACTGCATCCTGGTATATATTAATTGACTATTACAGAATTAACACCTTCCATGTTAAAGAGACAGCAAAGACTGGTACCCAGCACACCAAAGAAGTACAAAGAAGAAAAATCACTACACTGCAGAGATGATTAAAAGAGGGACTAAGGCTGTGTGCGGTGGCTTACGCCTATAATCCGAGCACTTTGGGAGGCTGAGGCTGGCAGATCACCTGAAGTTAGTTAGAGACCAGCCTGGCCAACATGGTGAAACCCCACCTCTACTAAAAATACAAAAATCCGCCAGGCATGGTGGCGCATGCCTGTAGTCCCAGCTAATCCAGAGGCTGAGACAGGAGAATTGCTCGAGCCTGGGAGGCAGAGGTTGCAGTGAGCAGAGATCATGCCACTGCACTCTAGCCTGGGCAACACAGCAAGACTCTGTCTCAAATATATATTAAAAAAAAAAAAAAAAAGGATGACCATGGTGGCTCACGCCTGTAACCCCAGCACTCTGGGAGGCTGAGGTGGGCGGATCACCTGAGGTCAGGAATTTGAGACCAGCCTGGCCGACAGGCTGAAATCCCATCTGTATTTAAAAAAAAAAAAAAAAAAAAATTAGCCGGGCATGGTAGCTGGCGTCTGTAATCCCAGCTACTCGGGACGCTGAAGCAGGAGAATTTTTTGAACCCAGGAGGCGAGGCTGCAGTGAGCCGAGATAGCGCCATTGCACTCCAGCCTGGGCGACAACAGTGAAATTCCGTCTCAAAAAAGGAAAAAGAAAAAAAAGAGGAAAAAAAAAAAAGAGAAAAAAAAAAAAGAGGGACTAACCTGGCTATCATAGGGGAAAGAGATCTGATTGTCAATGGAAGGTACACAATAATCGATGAATAAATGAGAAGGCAGCAACATTTTCTGCTAAGCTACATATAAGGATGGCAGATTCACTTTCTACTATTTCTTTAAATTGTGGCACTTCTCAGTTTCACCAAGTTAAATCAAGTTTCTGGCAGCTTTTACATTATTTCTGTATACCTCTCCATTTAACATCCTTGTTTAACATACTCATTTCTCTCAGAATAGGTGTACAAAGAAATATATTAAAAAATGAAAACTAGGGCTGGGCGCAGTGGCTCATGCCTATAATCCCAGCACTTTGGGAGGAGGAGGTAGGTGGATCACCTGAGGTCAGGAGTTTGAGACCAGTCTGACCAAGAGGGTGAAACCCTCTCTCTACTAAAAATACAAAAATTAGCCGGGAGTGATGGTGGGCGCCTGTAGTCCCAGTTACTCGGGAGGGTGAGGGACAAGTGCTTGAACCCAGGAGGTAGAGGAGGTTCCAGTGAGCCGAGACTGAGCCACTGCACTCCAGGCTGGGTGACACAGCAAGACTCTGTCTCAAAAACAAACAAAAAAAAAGTTTCTTCTTTTTATTTTTTCTTCCATCTAAGATAGAACTCTTCCTTGATAAAAATTCTAAAATATATCTAAGAATTCCTAAGAATACAATTTCCCTTTATTATCTGTTTCTTAAACATATGCCTAAATTTTTCAACTAGGCATATGTTTGTGTGCATGACTTTTTCTTTTCTTTTTCTTTTCCTTTTTGTTGGAGACAGGGTCTTATGTAGCCCAGGCTGGAGCAAGACTTACTCCACTGCAGCCTTGACTTCCTTGGCTCAAGTGATCCTCCTACCTCAGATTCCCGAGGAAGTAGGACTACATGCATGCACCACCACCCTGGCGAATCTCTGTATTTTTTGTAGAGATGGGGTCCCCACTATGTTTCTCAGGGTGGTCCCCAACTCCTGGGCTCATGTGATCCTCCTGCCTTAGCCTCCCAAAGTGTTGGGATTACAGGTGTGAACAACTGTGAGCCCAGCCTATGCATGAATTTTTCCCAAGAAAAAAATCATGACCCATAAATGCAAATCTGACTGCAACCTTGCCGCTTTCTCATGTTCATTGAAATGCTGTTAAAATACAATCCTAAACCTTAAACTTCCCATTTATTGAAAGAAGCAAGAATTTATCACAAATCTAACACAATACTAATCCTCCTCCTGATACCAGAAAAATGAATCCATGCTGTATGTTACACATACTTTTGTGCTACTAATAAACATAATTCTGCCGGACACTGTGGTGCACACTTGTAATCCCAGATACTCCTGAGGCAGAGGTGGGAGGATCGCCTGAGCCCAGGAGTTTTAGACCAGCCTGGACAACATGGTGAGATCTCATCTCAAAATAAACTCCTTATAATTCTGTTTACTTTTATAACAAAAATAAAAATATTTTCAATATAAACACTTGAGGAACTTAGCAAAGTAAATCCTAAAAACTATGAAATCCTTGGGTAGTATTAAAGAGAAAGCTGAACAGTGACTAACCTGACATCCATGTGAATAGCTGTTATGCTATGTAATTTTTATCATTAATGTTATCATTCAAGGTATTTGCTTTTGTTTTTTTTCTTGCTCTGTCGCCTGCCCAGGTTGGAATGCAATAGCACAATCACGGCTCATTGCAGCCTCAACTTCCCGGGCTCACGTGATCCTCCCACCTCAGCCTCCTGAGTAGCTGGGACCACAGGCATGCACCATCATACCCAGCTGAGTTTTAAATATTTTTGTAATGACTGGATCTCACTATGTTGCCCAGATTGGTCTTGAACTCCTAGCCTCAAGTGCCTGGCCAACACACTTTTTTTTTTTTAAAGGACACTTGTACTTAAGTTTTCAATAAAAGGTTTTTAAAATTACAATTGTAGGCCATGAGCGGTGGCTCATGCCTACAATCCCAGCACTTTGGGAGGCTGATGTGGGTGGATCACGGTCAGGAAATCGAGACCATCCTGGCTAACACGGTGAAACCCCATCTCTACTAAAAAAATACAAAAAAATTAGCCAGGCATGGTGGCAGGCGCCTGCAGTCCCAGTTACTCAGGAGGCTGAGGCAGGAAAATGGAGTGAACCCGGGAGGCGGAGCTTGCAATGAGCCAAGATCGCGGCACTGCACTCCAGCCTGGGCGACAAAGCAAGACTCCGTCTAAAAAAAAAAAAACAAAAAATACTACAATTGTAAGCAACAAATGGTATATAAAATGTCAAACTACGTACCTATTAATTCAGCAACTGCACTGAATGGCCAGGTGTGACTAGTAGAATTTGTATGTAAAAACTTCGGGCAAAGCTGAAACAAACAAAAGGTTCATGTAAATTAATTCAGGTCTTACTTTTGAAAATAAAAACCAGTATTTTTATCCCCATGTTAAACAACATTGAGACCAAACAAAAGGGACTTAGCTGCTTGTTCCAGGATACATCTGGAAGATACAATCTAGAATATTCGATTCTTAGGAGATAACATTGGGAACCAACTAAACAGCTTACTCACCAAGACTTGGTACAAAACACTGCCCTCTTTAAGTCTACAATGTCATAACTGTCCAATCCCAAATAGGGACCTACCTTGCCAAGACCTACCTTAAAATGATCCAGCCAAGGCCCTAAAATCCTATAAACACCATTTCCTAATTTCTCTATTTTGAGACACAACTAAGACTTTGTCAAGGAGGCATTTTCTCCTACGTGTCAGGCCTAATAAACTTAACTTGGCTTGATCAATAAGCTTTTCTGGCACTGTGACTTGATTATTTACTCCAACTTCATTATAGCTGAACTTGTAGCAGTGGAGTAGTATACAACTACAAACTCTTCAAAGAATTCAGAGTTCCAATTGTTGGCCGGGCACGGTGGCTCACACCTGTAATCCCAGCACTTTGGGAGGCTGAGGTGGGCGGATCACGAGGTCAGGAAATCGAGATCATCCTGGCTAACGTGGTGAAACCTGTCTCTACTAAAAATACAAAAAAAATTAGCCGGGCTTGGTGGCAGGCGCCTATAATCCCAGTTACTCAGGAGGCTGAGGCAGGAGAATGGCATGAACCCAAGAGGCGGAGCTTGCAGTGAGCTGAGATCGCGCCACTGCACTCCAGCCTGGGTGACAGAGCGAGACTCCATCTCAAAAAAAAAAAAAAAAAAAAAAGGGGTTCCAATTGTTAAACTAAACTTGGCCCGAGAATGCCTCCATACTCCAGTCAGTATATAAGGAATTACAACCTAACAGTATGAAAACTAACTGAATGCCTAACAGGAGAATTTGTACTCCAGTAACAAACATCTGAGTCTCAGTCAATTACAAAAGCCCATCTTCAGACAATCACAGGTCACCAGGTGATTTAAATAAGGCAAAATGCCAAGCTGCAACCAATTAAACTATTTCTGTACTTTACTTTTGTTTTGTCCATAAATATTGCCTGATCACGTTGCAGGTCAGAGTGCTTAGAACCTGTTCTGGTTCTGAAGCCTGTCCTATTTTTTTCTGAGACAGAATTGTGCTCTGTCACTCAGGCTGTAGTGCAGTGGCACAATCTCGGCGGACTGCAACCTCCGCCTCCTGGGTTCAAGTGATTCTCTTGCCTCAGACTCCCAAGTAGCTGGGATTACAGATGCGCACAACCACACATGGCTAATTCTTTGTATTTTTAGTAGAGATGGGGTTTCGCCATGTTGACCAGGCTGGTCTCGAACTCCTGGCCTCAAGTGATTCACCCACTTCGGTTTCCCAAAGTGCTGGGATTACAGGTGTAAGCCACCGCACCCAGCCTCTTAGTTTTTTAGAGACAGAGTCAGTCTCTGCTGCCCAGGCTGCAGTGCAGTAGTGTAATCATAGCTCACTGCAGCCTTGAACTTCTGAGTTCAAGTGATTCTCCTCCCTCAGCCTCCCGAGTAGCTGGGACCACAGGCATGCACCTCTACGCCTGGCTAACTTTACACTATTTTATAGAGACAGGAGTCTCACTACATTGCCCGGGCTGGTCTCCAACTCCTGGCCTCAAGTGATCCTCCCACATCAGCCTCCCAAAGTACTGGGATTGCAGTAGTGGGCCACTATGCCCAATATTGAATCATTCTTAGCTCAATAAAACTTTAACTTGTGTAAGGTTTTTCGTATGAACACAATGCAACAAATTTGCATTGAGTCTTAATTCCCAAAGCTTTATGTCAGATTTTACTCACAATTCATTATGGAAGAATATGCCAGTCAACCTCATGCTATTGGGAATTCTCTAAATTCCTGAATAGTGCTATGTACAAGTGTATAAAAACACACATGTAGTTTTTTGGTTTTTTTTTTTTTTTTCTGAGACAGATTCTCACTGTCGCCCAGGCTGGAGTGCAGTGTTATGATCTAGGCTCACTGCAAGCTCCGTCTCCCAGATTTACTTACACCATTATCCTGCCTCAGCCTCCTGAGCTGAGGACTACAGGCGCCCGCCACCACGCCCGGCTAATTCTTGTATTTTCAGTAGAGACAGGGTTTCACCGTGTTAGCCAGGATGATCTCGATCTCCTGACCACGTGATCCACCCGCCTCGGCCTCCCAAAGTGCCAGGATTACAGGCGTGAGCCACTGTACCTGGCCAAAAACACACAAGTAGTTTTAAAAGGCAGAGCCTTAAAAATTTCAGTATCCAGAGAATTTTCATGCAATTTTTTTGTTCATTCTGAACAGATTCTCTCCTAATTAGGGGAAAAAAGGTGGAAAGCACTTTGCAGTGTGAAGAGCCCTAAAAAGATGATTAGACTGCCGGGCGCGGTGGCTCACGCCTGTAATCCCAGCACTTTGGGAGGCCGAGGCGGGCGGATCACAAGGTCAGGAGATCGAGACCACGGTGAAACCCCGTCTCTACTAAAAATACAAAAAATTAGCCGGGCACGGTTGTGGGCGCCTGTAGTCCCAGCTACTCGGGAGGCTGAGGCAGGAGAATGGCGTGAACCCGGGAGGCGGAGCTTGCAGTGAGCCGAGATCGCGCCACTGCACTCCAGCCTGGGGGACAGAGCAAGACTCCGTCTCAAAAAAAAAAAAAAAAAAAAAGATGATTAGACTGTAGATCAAGCCAACTACATCTGTAGTTTTCAGGTGCTGCCACAAGGTGTCAGAAAGGTCTACTTTTCCTCTGTCCACACTTGCTTCTGGACAATTCCCAAACCTTATTTACCATTAAGTTGAAGCACACAAGTGAGAAACAGTATCCTGAAGAAGACTGTTCAAACTAGTATACATGCAATTCAGACTTTCTCTGGCAGACATCATATAATACAGCATACATCCATGAAATATGGAGTATAGGTAACTCAGACTTTCTAAAGCACACATCACAAACAGTTCTTAATGAAACTAAATTTTCCAGCTCTTCATCTTGCACAAGAAGTCTTTTCTCAAAACTGAGGCATCAGGAAAACCTTCCTGTCCCACCTCCTCCCCTGTACAAATATCATTCTACCATTGATAAAAGAATGATACACTCTTCCCCCAATCTACATCTTAACCATGGGGTATGGCCCTGGGGTGTAAAACCTCTGGCTACTGTCGACGAAAAAGAGTCAAACTTTGTAAAATATTTGAAGACATTTATTCTGAGCCAAATATGAGTGACCATGGCCCATGACACAGCCCTCAGGTGGTCCTGAGAACATGTGCCCAAGGTGGTCGGGGTACAGCCTGGTTTTACATATTTTAGGGTGGTATGGGATATCAATGAAACACGTTTAAGATGTATATTGGTTTGGTTCAGAAAGGCAAGACAAGTCAAAGTGGGGACTTCCAGGCTCTAGGTAAATTTAAACATTTTCTGGTTGATGATTGGTTGAGTTTGTCTAAGGACCTGGGATCAACAGACAGGAAATGTTTGGGTTAAGACAAAGGATTGTGGAGACCAAAGTTTCACTATGCAGAAGAAGCTCTTAGCTAGCAGGCTTAAGACAGAAGAGGCTGTAAAATGTTTTCTTATGAGACTGAAAAGGGTGCCTGACTCTTAGTTGATTATCTCCCGGATCTGGAAACAAAAAAAAAAAAACGGAATGGCCAGGTGCGGTGGCTCAGGACGGGTCTGGCGGCTCACACCTGTAATCCTAGCACTTTGGGAGGCCGAGGCTGGTGGATCACATAAGGTCAGCAGTTCAACACCAGCCTAACCAACACGATGAAACCCCACCTTTACTAAAAATACAAAATTAGCCGGGCCTGGTGGCTCATGCCTGTAATCTCACCTACTTGGGAGACTAAGGCAGAAGAATTGCTTGAACCCAGAAGGAGGAGGTTACAGTGAGCTGAGATTGGGTCACTGCACTCCAGCATGGGCAACAAGAGCGAAACTACATCTCAAAAACAACAACAAAAAAAAAGAAAGAAAAAGAAAAAAAGAGGGAAAAGGGGATTCTCTACACAACATACATTTTTTTCCATAAGAGACAAACTTTGTAGGGCAACTTCAAGATATGACAAAGAAATCCATTTAGAATTATTTTGATTTCTTTCCTTGTTATGTGATGTTACTTACACCAGAGAGTAATGAAGCAGGTCTGACCCCAACTTTCTCTCATGGCCTGAACTAGTCTTTCAGATTAAATGTTTAGAGTGCTCTGGCTGAGAAGGAAGTCCACTCAGATGGCTGGAAGAGCCTTAGAATTTTATTTTTGGTTTATACTGCCAAACAAGAAGAAAATTATTAGTCAACTACCATAAACCCTTAGAGCTTCCTGTAATTCATAAATTGGGTGTTCATATGATTCCCTCTTTATGTTTGATAATGTGCTATAATGCTCACAAAACTCAAAAAAACACTGATTCATTGTAAACCAAGCCTGTCTAGCCCTCAGCCCGCGGGATGCATGTGGCCCAGGACAGCTTTGAATGCAGCCCAACACAAACTTGTAAACTTTCTTTTTTTTTTTTGAGATGGAGTCTCGCGCTCTGTTGCCCAGGCTGGAGTGCAATGGCACGATCTCGGCTCACTGCAACCTCTGCCTCCCGGGTTCAAGCGATTCTCCTGCCACAGCTTCCCAAGTAGCTGGGATTACAGACACCTGCCACCACGCCCAGCTAATTTTTTTGTATTTTTGGTAGAGACGGGATTTCACCATGCTGGCCGGGCTGGCCTCAAACTCCCAACCTCAGGCGATCCACCCACCTCGACCTCCCAAAGTGCTGGGATTACAGGCATGAGCCACCGTGCCCGGCCTGTAAACTTTCTTAAAACATTATGAAGTTTCTTTAGTGATTTTTTTTTTTTTTTGTAGCTCATCAGCTATCATTACAATTTTTTTTTTAACCTCATCAGCTATTGT